ATTAATCCCAGCATTTTCAATGTCAAGTAATTCTAATTTCTGGGGAACTATTTTGATCATCAGGGAAATTATGTCTTGGCTGTAATCAAGAAAATTTTTTTTCTTTAGTTTATCCAAAAATATATATAATAATAATAACAAACCTCACTGATCTAATTCCCATATATAAATGAGAGAGAGAGAGAGAGAGAGAGAGAGAGAGAGAGAGAGAGAGAGAGAGAGAGAGAGAGAGAGAGAGAGAGAGAGATTAAATGCAAGTGTCTTTGGGTTTTGTTTGGTTGGTAGCCTGCACGTGTGTTGTGGTGATGTTTATTTTCTAAAATATTCCAGTAATTTTTGTTTCTTAAAAGCCATGTAAAACAATCTGCATGTAATCAGTAATTGCATTCCTTGATGAAGATGAATGAAACCTCGCCATCATTCAATTACGGGCCATATTTTCCGTGTTTCTGCACATCTCCTTTGAAAGTGAAATAATTGTCATTTGATATGTAACTAAATCCTGCCCTCATGCGGACATAATCTGAATTTTTTCAAGGTGCTCTTCATGCTAATCATCACCAAAATTCTCTTAAACACAGAATTATCAACGTCAATTATCGGGGTGATGAATCACTCTTTCATGCTATCCAGTTGTACCTTTTAATATGCATGCAGAAAATAGATCAGTCCCTATTTTGATGATTTTCTTTTTTTATCATTTATTTTATTTGTATTTTTTTTGCAATTACATTTATTTATTATTATTATTTTTTTTTTGTATTTTTGCCCTTTCAGGCTTCTCCAAGAAAATTTGCTATTTGTGTTTCTGTTTCACCAGCAAGAAGAGCATAATGAAATCCTCTGGGCGGACCTGTGCTTCTGTACTCCATCACGCTAATTGAGTTTCTCCTGGCTTTTATCAGGCTCATTACCTCAACTCTGATCAGGGCAAACCAGCTTCCATCACCAAAGATGGCATTAACGGTGTCACTCATTTCTGACTTTTATGTATATATAAATAATTGCCTAAAGTTATTTTGGGCTTTTGGTAAAATTATTCCTAGTTGCTATTAATTAGGGCTGCACAATATTGGAAAAATCTGATATTGCGATATTTTCTTTTTCTGCAATATATGAATTCAGTTTCACAGAATGATTTGAATAGCTCTATTTAAAGAGTCTAACAGTGTTCAGGTAAAGAAATAGAATAATCACAATGCAAAAAAAAGTAATAGTAATAATCCTTCTTTGTTTTGTCTCATGTTTAGTACAAATATCTAAAAAGTCTTAGATCAAGTAAAAATATTGCTTAGTTTTAAACATCAGAGTAAATAAGGCAAATTTAAGAGCTTTTGCTTAAAACAAGCCAAATTGCAGCAGGGTGTGTTAAATAATCTTGTTTTCGCTTTGAAATGAAGACATTTCGACTAGAAACAAGACAAAAAATTCTCAGTGCATTTTTTTTTTCTTATTTGTTGTTGCATAAATCGAAGAAATGTTGTATAAATACACTAATTAAAGACAATTTTGTAGCTCCTGGTCAACTATAATCCAAACTCAACATTGCATATCTTACTGAAACGATATATTGTGCAGCCCAACTATTATAAATGATCTAAATACAATTTTTTTCACACATTTATATTTTTAGTTGAAAGAGATATTTTTAGCTTTAAATATAATATTATTTTGTTGCTAAAACTTCTACTTTCATAAGTTTACGTAAAAGAAAAATCTGTCATCACTTATTCACTCTAATTCTTACAAACCGTTTTGAGTTTCTTTCTTCCGTTAAACACAAAATAAGATATTTAGAAAAATGCTGAAAACCTGTAGCAATTGACATCCATACTAACTGTTATTCCTATTATTGAAGACAATGGTTACAGGTAATCAGAAAGAAACTCATAAATGTTCAAAAGTGTGAGTAAATAGTGAGAAGCATTTTATTTTGGGGTAAACTATCGCTTTAAATGATTTGCCCCTTCTGTTGACTTATGGGTAAAAAATGCCCTGTGCACCATTTTAACAGCAGGAACTTAAAAATAAATAAATAAATAAATAAAAAAAATCTTGAAATTCTTTGACTTTTCCTTACATGACCCCAACATTACAATAAATTGTCATTTTCATGAAGGCTGGATGGGTACAATGGTTGTCCTTCGGGAAAGTTTTGACCCATTTTTGACCATTTTCATGCCACAAAAACTACTGGCACACACGTACAGTTCACTGCAACAAAGAGACACACCAAACAAACCCACACACAATAATAATCTGCTGATTAACCGTTTATGAACACTGTCTCGCTGAAAATGTTTTACACTTATGCAGGATCTAGAAATAGGAAATACACACTTCACTGTAGTCAAAAATGAGTACAAAATTGGTGATGAAGATTAGGTTGATTCTTCATGCAAAAAATATGCGAGGATTGAAAGGAAATGTATCTGCTTTATTTTAAAGGTTTAGAGAAGATGGGTCATTTTTGACCCGAAGAAAAAAAAAAGTGTTAACTAATGAAGGACAACACAAGGGTTAAACGTTAAACAATTTTAATAATATTAATAATTAATTTTTAATAATAATTACTTGCATTTATATAGCTCTTTTCTGGACAGTCAAAGCACTTTACACATTTTTTGGGGGGCATCTCCTCATCTACCACCAGTAGCAGCGAGCAGCATCCACCTAGATGACACGACAGCAGCCGTGTTACAACAGACCGCACACCACACACCAGCTGATTGGTGGAGAGGAGACAGTGATGAAGCCAATTACGATATGGGTATGGTTAGGAAGCCGTAATGGACAGTATGCAAATTTGGCCAGGATGCCGAGGTTAAACCCTTACTCTTTTTCAAAGGACAGCTTGGGTATAGAGTCCCCATCCATATACTGGGGCATTAGGACCCACACAGACTGCAGGTTGAGCACCTCCTGCTGGACTGACTAACACCATTTCCAGCATCAACCTAGTTTTTTCATGTGGTCTCTCATTCGGGTACTGACCGGACGCTGCCCTGCTTCAGCAGGCGACAATGTAAAAGTTGCAGAGAGCTAATGAAAGCTGCCAGCTAATGACTCTTTGCATCAAACTCATTAGCATAATATAAGCTTTAAGGGTTATGGGAATGATAAGTTATTAAACCTCAACTTCAAATTTCAGAGCAAACGCTGAGCTCATCTGCATCTGCTCCTGCAAAAAAAGTGTATACAGTACATGAAATATGTAAAGTCCAAATTGTGAAGCAGCCGAATGTGAGGGAAGCATGAGCAGCTGTGACCTCCTTTCATGGTTGATTTGAGATTGTTTATTAGATTCAAATGACCGGCATCTAATTCACGCTTGCTCAATAAGATCCAGACTGTTTTGCCTCTTGCCCTCCTCGGGTTGTGTCTGCAGCCATACTGTGAGAATAAAGTGTCTTTGAGATCAAACATCGCTGCTGAGCAAATGGATCTCACGCAGAGAGGGCAGCAGATGGACTGGGCAGGGGAACAAGCAGCATCTCTCCAAACAGACTTTCAATGAGCCACGGCGAAAAAAAAAAACGGGACGAGGCTGATGATGGTAAATGATAGAAGGGACGCTGGGCCTTTACTCCACTGAATAAAGTGCGAAGACTTTTTCAAAGTCAATGTTTGTGTATTCATTAAAACGTAACAACCTTTGTATGGAGTCATTCTAGAGCCATATATGTATACGTGCAAAACGAAAGAAAAATTTGCAAACAAAAGTTAAAGTTTAGTGAAAAAAATTAATAAATAAATACAATTCTACAAAAATCATGTTTTTGAGAAATAAACATTTATTTTGCTAACAAAAATAAAGAACTGCAAAGGGAAAATTAAGTTTTGAGAAATAAAAATGAAATTTGCAAACAAAAAAAAGAACTGCAAATAAAATAAACCATTTGCAATAAAAAAAAATTTAAAAAAACTATGCGTACACAAAACATTTTAATAGCATTGCCTTTACAAAACCCGTCAGTCAGTTGTAATTCTCATTTGGATTTGCCTTTTAGACACCGTGAGTTTGTGATGCTGTTTTCATTTTGCACTTCACGTTTCTGCGTGTTATTACTTTGTGGCCCTGATTTGACAAGAGGGCGGAGTCAAGCGAACTTGGGTGTTTACTCAGGCCCAGACCGGCTCCCATTTAAGAGACGTCATCACCTAGAGACACAGGCTGGGTCACGCATACTTGCATCACGCAAATCGCATACTTCCATACTATATAGAACGCTAAAATCAGAATGTGAGCTGAGTAATATGTCTGCATTCATAGAATTCGAAAATCAGTATGCAAGAAGTACTTGGATTTCTGGCGAGATTTTAAGGTGTGTATTCCATGCATGCTGTGCTATCCTATGATGCCCCCAAGAAAATTCTTTTATGGGAGTGAAGTGACGCAACTTACCATGCCAAATTCTTTATTTTGTTAGCTAAATTAATTTTTATTTCTCAAATTTTTATTTTTGCTTTGTAATTATTTGGAGATTTGCATTTATTAATTTATTTATTGCTCAATACTTTATTTTTATTTTTATTTTGCAAGTATATATGGTCCTAGATTGACTCCATACCTTTGCCGCCCGATGTTTATGAATAGAACAAAGTTCAGCATTTAGTGTACCGTTTTAAATGTTTGGAGCTCTTTCAAGGGATCAGTTCACCCAAAAATGAAAATGATGTTATTAATTACTCACATTGATGTCATTTCAATCCCACTCTGACTGTTGTTCATCCTCAGAACCCAAATTAAGAGAATTGTATCTGTCTTGTCCTCCATATACTGCACTGCAATGGCCAAGATGCATTTAAAGTCCAGAAAAAAAAACCCAACAAACTTGTTTGGACACACTTTCTGAAAATAAAACAATAAATCGAATATCTGAAACAATAAAGCAACATCTGACTCAGCGTTTTTTTTTTTTTTTTTTCAGTGTAATTTTCATGTAATTCTTCAAATATCATTTATATTTATTGTGTACTATTGAAATGAACACAGAAAACACAAATAAAAACTCATTTTATTTTAGCATTTACAAAACAGAACAAAAGATCAAGTAAAGAATCCAGTTTTTAAAGAAATTGGGAATCCACACATCAGATAATAAGAATGCAAAAGAATAAATAAAGAAAAGTCCTCATGTTTAAGTATGGTAGGATATATAGGAGGCTTTTTTTCAATTGTCAATACAGACTTTGGGTTTTTATCCCTGAGCTGATTTGTGTATTTTATCCATAGGGATTGTTTTAAATCCAGACTTTTTATTATGAGTCTGGACTATGAATAAGGAGTTCTAGTGACTGTCTTCATCTTTATTTCACCTCAGTGGTTTAGCTGTTCTCTAGAGTCTGACAGAGCTGCTTCAGTCCACTGGCTGCTGCTGCTTTAGGCATAACAGCATGTTGTGGTCTCCTTCAACTCATGGTACCCCTGCTGGTTTGGCTCTGTAAAGAGACAGAGAGTTGCTGTTAGGGGCATCAGTTTTTGGATGTTGACTTTTTTGTAACATAAAGTGCACATTTGTGGATGCTAAAACTTTTTTTTTTTCTTTAGGCCTCCTTTAGAACATATTAAATTAATTCTGTGTGTATAATTTTGGTAATACAGATCACATATATTAACGATATGGCTCATCCTAAAATGAAAACTGGTTCATCATTTACTTACCCTCACACTGGCCTAAAGGTTTTGGTCAAGATAAACTGCTAAAAATGTTCTAAAGACATTGAAATATGAATCAATATCAAGTAAAGCAAACCTGTCTATTTACAAGGATAAACAGTGTGACTCATGAATTTATTTTAAGATGGATTTTACAACTTTTTAAAGACTTTCTGAGATAATGGTAATTAAAATTTTAATGTAATATTGCAGCTTGTTTTAGACCTGCTATGGATGATTAAATATGACATTTAAAACCACAAGTAGGTGGGGCTATAATGAGTTATTCAACAAAAAGTTCACTCAAATGATCTATTTACAAATGCTGATTCATTTACTAATAAATACTTTTGACTAAAGATGGGACATGGGTAAAAATTAAGTCCATGTTAATCTCGTGTTTTGTGCTGACTGTAATATTTTATTAGGCCACCAATTTAAAATGTTCTCATTGAATGGTGGGAATGGATTGAATGGATGTTATCAGTGGTTATCAGCTGATAGATAAGGGGCAGTAGGGGCCTTCTGTTGGGTTGGGTTTAGAGTTGGGGTAGGGGTAGACGTTAATAAAATACAAGTAATGAGAAATTTTATAAATAATATAAATAATTCTGTGATCAATAAAATAGGTGATTAACCATGTGGATGGATGATAACAGCCTTCTGAGCCTACCAGTGGGTGCAGAAAGCCCCTACTGGCCCAAATCTATCAGCTGATACCATTGATAACGCCCATTCAATCGAGTGATAACATTCGAATCAGCTGACCCAGGGGTATGATTAACTGTCTAAATATATATATTACTTTATCGCTTTCATCACATGAATTACAGGGTCATTCTAGTATTCTACACTCTCAAAAATAAAGATACGAGAGCTGTCACTTGGGATTTTGTTCATGATTGAGGGAAGGATGGAATGTGAGATTGCCAGGTGGATTGGAGCAGAGGCAGCAGTAATGCGGACGATGTATCGGTACGTTGTGGTAAAGAAGGAGCTGAGCCTAAAGGCAAAGCACTCGATATACCGCTCAATCTACATTCCTACTCTCAACTATGGTCATGAGCTTTGAGTCATGACCAAAAGGATAAGGTCTTGGATACAAGCAGCCGAAATGAGTTTCCTTCGCAGGGTGGCAGGGCGCACCTTTATAGATATGGTGAGGAGCTATATTATCTGGGAGGAGCTCAGAGTAGAGCCGCTGTTCCTCCACATTGAGTGAAGTCAGCTGAGGTGGCTCTGGCATTTGTTTTGGATGCCTCCTGGATACATATCTAAGGAGGTGTTCCAGGCATGTTCCACTGGGAGGAGACCTCAGGGAGGACCCAGAACACGCTGGAGGAACTATCTCTCGGCTGGCCTGGGAATGCCTTGGGATCCCACCAGAGGAGCTGGAGGAAGTGTCTGGGGAAAGGGAAGTCTGGGGTTCTCTCCTAAGACTGCTGAAAAGTGGTTGAAAATGAATGAATGAGCTGTCACTGGGATGGTACCTTTTTAAAAGCTATACACTTGTACCTAAAGGGTCCTTATTAATACCTCAAGAGTACATATTAGTACCTAAAAGGTACAAAAATGTACCTTATAAAATGTTTAAGTACAAATATATGCTTTCGAGGCACCAAAAAATTAGGTACAAATGTGTTCTTTTTAAAAGGTACCAGACCGCTTTTGTAACTTTATTTCCAAGAGTGTAACAGGCTCATACTAATTATTTTTATTATTATTATTATTATTATTATTATTATTATTATTATTATTATTATTTAATTATTTATTTTTTGCAAAGTGGTAATGATGTCAGCTTAATAATGTAAAACACATAAAGCAACAATTATAATGACTTACATTAAAACTATGACATTATCAATAAATTATACATCGGTTTGGAAAGATTTGAGTTAAAGCAACCGATGGCAGAATTTTCATTTTTGGGAGAACTATTAATTTGAAAATGATCATACAGACTTCTAATTTACTAAAATAGGTAATGGAAATATGTTAGAAACCCATTTAAATTATTTCAACTATTTCACAATAGGTCATAATATACAATATGGGTTTCCACATTATATGCAAACAAATAACAAAAAAAGATGTTCAGTCACAGTAGAAACACAAATGCTCATCTTCAAATGTTAAATATCTCTCCATCACTTGATGATTTTCTGAACGTCCCAAATGACAGCCACAAAAATGGCCACCAGCAAGATGCGTTTAAGTACATAGATGAGTGTGACTGTACCGAGCGTCATGTCAGGCTCCACAAGAGGGCGCTGCTCTGGACAGTTGACTGCATTTCCTCGAGCTGCTCCCAGGACAGTCATGATGTCCACCAGATTGAGTTTTCCCTCCTCTCTGGCCTCCCTCATCTCCTCCTCCAGCTCCTCTGCGGTCTCCAGCATCTCCTCTGCCTGTTCCTCCGTCAGGACGCCTTTAGCGCCCTTCAGTCGAGGAGGTGCAAGGGAGCAGATGGCCCTTAGACGGCTGTACGACTGCAGCTGTGCTACATTGGCGCGCAAAAACAGGAGCAAAACATTGAGGTCATTAAGTGGGCAGCCCAATTTCTGACCGCTGATCAGCCCCAGTCCAGGAAGCACTTCGTACAGGGAAAGAAAGGTGGTGTCCCAGCAAAACAATCGAAGCAGGCTGAAGAGGACAATAGGAGCCAGCAGCACATAGACGGCTCCGTTAGCCACACTAATGACCTGAAACACAAGTAGACCGGTCATTTTACACTGAACTAGCTCTGGGACCCATGGCTGGTCGCGGAGGAGGCCGGTCCGCACGAAGCAGCTGAATTCGTCTTGTAGGAATGAAGAGAGGTGGAAGTAGATGAGGTACAGGCACGAGGCGGACATGAAGGTCAGGAGGAGGAACCCTCGCAGGAACAGCATGCTGACCAGGAAGTAGGAGCCATGTTTGCACTGCATGTATCTCTCCAGCAGGGGGTACTCAAAGTATCGCTTGCGTTTGGCTCTGAAGAGATAAAATTAATAATAATAATAGTAATACATTGTTTTATGCATCTAAAGAACACACTTTGCTTTTAATGCATGACACTGCGGAACACTCTAGATTTGCTTTGTTTATTTTTTACATCCTAATTTTCTTTTGTCGTGTAGATTTCAATTATGATCACTTTCAAAGGCCATAAGAATTTCGTTAAGAAAATTAGATGCAAATATTTGACATTTCCTTTTCCTCCAAAATATAAAGAAGTGCATTTTAAAATGATGTATGATTTTTAGCCTGCAAAGGAGTTTCTGAGAAAAAGATTTAATGTGATTTGTAATGTTTGCCAGTTCTGCAATAGTGATATTGAAACGGTTAAACATCTAATTCGTCATTGTAATGTGCTTAATCTTTTCTGGTCAACTGGATGAAACAATTTAAATGTTTCCTTATATTTGTTGGGACATTTGTTGGAAAACATTTGAACAACAAAGATGATGACTTCAAATTGTTTACTTATTTTACTTAAAATCTTCATTCATAAATGCAAATTTTTGAAAACAGCTCCACATTTGATTGTCTTTAAAAAGCAGTTTGCCACCTACAGTTGAAGTCAAAATTATTAGCCCCCCTGTTTATTGTTTTTCCCAATTTATGTTTAACGGAGAGAAGTTTTTTTTCTACACATTTCTAATCATAATAGTTTCTAATAACTGATTTATTTTGTCTTTGTCATGATGACAGTAAATAATATTTGACTAGATATTTTTTCAAGACACTTAAGTTTAAAGTGACATTTAAAGGCTTAAATTTTTTTTTTTTTTTTTAAGTTCAAAGGGGGGCTAACAAATCTGACTTCAACTGTATGTAGAGGTTTTAAAACTATCCAAGGGTCAGAGGGCTAAACAATTGAATGATTCGTTTCAGAAATATAGTTTTTTAAACCCCTTGCAGAGTTTCTGTTTGATGTCTGCATGGTATGTTCAGAAAAAAAATTATTATATATATATATATATATATATATATATATATATATATATATATATATATATATATACATACATACATACATACATACAGTAATATGTTTATTTATTGTTTATATGTTTGTTTATGTCTTAAGTATAATAATATACTAACCTAATTATTACAAGTAATTCTCTCCATTGTGGCTTTGAATCTGTGATACAATTAAAATGCAATATATATATATATATATATATATATATATATATTCATTCATTCATGCTTAGTCCCTTTATCAATCCGGGGTCGCCACAGCGGAATGAACCGCCAACTTATCCAGCAAGTTTTTAATTACATTAGAATATTTTTTCTTCTGTATTGAACCATAAATCTCCAAACAGCACTTAAGTTTTACACACTGTATAGTTATATTTATATTCTTTGTATTGTGAAGGGTTTTACAGGTGTTCAAATGAAATTTGTCTGATTTCTGTGTAAACAATTTATTTCATTTATTTTTCTTTTTTTTTTTTTTTTGCTGATTGCAGTATATTCTGAATTGCGTTGTTGTTATGGAAACATATGTGCAAAAATGAAAACACTTTTGATTACCACTTTGTTCGATGTTTCAATTTCCATGCTAGAAATATAGCCACATTAATGTACATTTGATTACATAATGCCCTGGGAAACACCCATACACTCTCTTATTTACAAACATACATTACACTCAGTTTAGTTCATCCAATTCACCTATAGTGCATGTCTTTGGACTGTGGGTAAAACCGGAGCACCTGGATGAAACCCCAGGCGAACTTTTAAACTCCACATAGTTAATGCCAACGGGCCCTGCTGGGACTCCAACCAGCGACCTTCTTGCTGTAAGGCGACAGTGCTAACCACTGAGCCAACTTGCCGCATACTGTCTAATTTAAACTAATTTAAAAATAGCATTTTAGAAAAATTGTATTCTAAAAATTTTTTTACAATCTGTAATGTAATGTGAAGTATGGTGATTAATACTAGTTTGTTTTTCCTCCTATTCATCAGTAGTGTCTCACCTTAAAATGAGAAGTAAAACTGTTCATAAGTACCTCTCGAGCTCAGTCTGGAACTGCAGAGCGCTTTCTGAATGCTCTTTCAGGTCCAGGATGTTTTGGGCCAGACGGACAGAGCGGTTGTATGATTTGTCCAACTCGTCAATGATGAAAAACAGGTCAGAGGTCAGGCTGGGGACTGCCAGATAGCGCCAGATCAGAGCCGGCAGGTACATCATCATGGCCATCACCAATAAGGAGTATGGAAACATCTGCAAAAAAACAACACAACATTTATCTAAAGTAAATAGTCAAGACAAATATAGTGACTCAGTATATTAATATGCATTAGCGACATGGTGGATCAGTGGTTATGACTGTCGCCTCACAGCAAGAAGGTCGTTGGTTCGAGTCCAGGCTGGGTCAGTTGGCATTTCTGTGTGGAGCTTGCAAGTTCTCCCAGTGTTTGCGTGGGTTTTCTCCAGGTGCTCCAGTTTTCCCCACAGTGCAAAAACATGCAGGTTTACTGTAGGTGAATTGAATAAACTAAATTGGCCTTAGTGTATGAGTGTGTGAATGTGAGAGTATGGGTGTTTTTCAGTACTGGGTTGCAGCTGGAAGGGCATCTACTGTGTAAGACGTGCTGGAATAGTTGGTGGTTCATTCTGCTGTGGTGAACAGTGATGAATAAAGGGACTAAGCTGAAGAAAAATGAATGAATGAATGAATTATAATTCATTGAGTCATTCATACATTCATTCATTCACCTTTATTGTGTATTATTGTTATTGTTGTTATTTTATTATTATTATTGTTACTATTATTTTAATTATTTATTCATTCATTCATTTTCTTGTCGGATTAATGCCTTTATTAATCCCTTCCAGCCACAACCCATCACTGGGAAACCCATACACACTCATACATACGCACACATACATATACTATGGACAATTTAGCCTACCCAATTCACCTGTACGGCATGTCTTTGGACTGTGGGGGAAACCGGAGCACCCGGAGGAAACCCACGCAAATGCAGGGAGAACATGAAAACTCCGCACAGAAACTCCAACTGACCCAGCCAAGGCTCGAACGAGTGACCTTCTTGCTGTTAGGTGACAGCACTACCTACTGTGCCACTGTGTCACCTTATTATTATTATTATTATTATTATTATTACTATTATTATTATTATTATTGTTATTGTTGTTGTTACTATTTTTATTATTATTATTATTATTATATTAACATTTACTTACATTTTCTGTAAAATATTTCTTAACATTTTTTCATTTGTTTAAATATTTGCATAATAATTATAGTAATTATCTTGTGGATCAAAATGTGTGGTATTATAAAAAATATTATTACTTAAATTACTTAATTTAAATATTTACTTAATTAATATATTTAAGTAATAATAATAATAATAATAATAATAATACGTAAAAATAAAAGAAAATATTCATTTAGCCACTGATTTATTTATATTTTTATTTATATATTTATTATATTATAGTTTTATTTATAGGCAATTCTATTTAATTTGTCTAAAATGGTCAAAAGTGGGGCGAAGCAGTGGCGCAGTAGGTAGTGCTGCCGCCTCACAGCAAGAAGGTCGCTGGTTCGAGCCTCAGCTCAGTTGGCGTTTCTGTGTGGAGTTTGCATGTTCTCCCTGCGTTCATCCGCTGCATAAAAACTTGCTGGATAAGTTGGCGGTTCATTCCACTGTGGCGACCCCAGATTAATAAAGGGACTAAGCCGACAAGAAAATGAATGAATGAACGGTCAAAAGTTTTAATATGGACACAAATAAACATGAAATTAAAAAAAGAAGAGATAAAGAGTTTTTTTTCTAATTCATATTCAAACTTCTGGCTATTGATTTCACTGCAAGTCAGTTCGCAGTTTAAAATATCGTCTTAAAGTCCACATAAAACACTTGTGTGTCCCGGTCTAAGTATAAAAAAAAAAAGCAAGAACCTCAAAAAAAGCTTTCATTTCATCTCCATTTAATGACTTTTTTATATAAATAAAAAAAACAAAAACTGTGATTGTACATTTCTTACTCACTTTATGAACCCACAGTGAGCGTTCCTCAATGTTTCCATCGGTGTCAAACTCGTGGTGCATGAGCGAGTCCCAGCAGTACGTGTCCACATAGGCTGCCTGCTTCACTGTGAAGTTATTGGGAGGAAAGCAGCTAATCTGTGGGCCTGGAGGAAGAAGCAGAGAAAATGAACATGCTGAGGCAGAAATGACAGTGTTCCAGCATCACTTGTTGCTGTATAAGTGGAGAAAAGCTGGCCAAGAGCTGGGTGGTAACGTCTGTAATAAAGCTCCATCTACAGATCCTGAAACCACCAAGAAACACCCATCTGGAAGAGATTTTGCTGGCTGGGTGAGAGGGTGTGACCCAGCTGCACCAGTTAAACGTGTGTGCCGCTCTCCAAAACCTACAGTCAACATTCAATTTACTGCCTGAACCCAAGATGCCCCACACCCACCGCTATTATAGACAACTGAGCTGCAGAACATCTCTGCTAATTACATGATAGCAAACCAGCAGAGATATTAATAGACATCTGAGTTTCCTTAACGTTTTAATCGTGATCTACTTATGAAAATTTATATAGTTGGCTCCAAAAGTCTGAGACCACACTCAAACTCTCAGGTTATTATGGACATATAGATTTATACGAAATACACACATACAAACATATACTTACTTACGCTGTTAAAATATCCGTAAATTAGCAGTTTTCTGTATTTTGTAATTCATGTTTTTATTTTTCCTTATTTATTTTAGTTGCATTATCGGACTTTGATCCTTCTTCCAACAACTTTTGAACTTGAAAGTAAAAAAGTGAGTTTTATTGACATTTTTAATAGTTTAAAGTGGCATATATATATATACCTCCCTGACTAAGGCTCTTCTCCTCCGATCATTCAGCTTAGATGGCCGGCCAGCTGTAGGAAGAGTCCTGGTGGTTCCAAACACCTTCCACTTATGGATGATGGAGGCCACTGGGCTTATTGGAAGTTTCAGAGCAGCAGAATTTTTTCTGTAACCTTCCCCAGCCTTGTGCATCGAGACAATTCTGTCTCAGAGGTCGACAGACAATTTCTTTTGTCTTCATGCTTAGTTTGTGCTTTGACATGCACTGTCAACCCTGGGACCTTATATAGACAGGTGTATGCCTTTTCAAATCATGTCCAATCAACTGAATTTACCACAGGTGACCTTCAATTAAGCTGCTGAAACATCTCAAGAATGATCAGTGGAAACAGAATGTAGCTGAGCTCAATTTAGAGCTTCACGGCAAAGGCTGTGAATACTTATGTACATGTGATTTTACAGGTTTTTTATTTTTAATAAACTGCAACAATTTCAAAAAATCTTTTTTCATATTGTCATTGTGGGGTATTGTGTTTAGAATTATGAGGAAATAAATCAATTTTATCCATTTTGGAAGAAGGCTGTAACATAAAAAAGTGGAAAAAGTGAAGAGCTACGAATACTTTCAGAATGTACTGTATATACCCCAAGTATGATTTTAGTTTCATCCGTTTTATTTTTTCATTTGAATTAAATATAAATACTTCCTTGCCATTTAGCTGAAATAAAATGATATTTTTATGTATTTTTAAATAAAAAGTTAAAACTAAATACAATTCTGTGATGCTGAATGTTTTATTTCGAAATTAAATATATAAATATAAACTGATCATTTTCTAGAGAATTATATTTGTCTTATGAAACAAACTGAATAATACACAGTTCATGCTGGATAATGATTATCTGTTTTTGTTGTGTTGATGGGCAGCACGATGGCTCAGTGTTTAGCACTGTGGTCTTAAAGCAACAAGGTCGCTGGTTTGAGTCCAGGTTGGACCAGCTGGCAATTCTGTTTGAGGTTTGAATGTTTTCTTTTTATTTGCGTGGGTTTCCTCTGGGTGCTCTGGTTTCCCAGAGCTAGGTGAGTTTAATCAACTAAACTGGCCATAGTGTGTGTGTGAAAGGGCATTCGCTGCGTAAAACATATGTTGAAATAGTTAGCGGTTCATTCTGCTGTGGCGACCTCTGAAATAAAGACTAAGCCAAAGGAAATTAAATGAATGAATGTTCTGTTGCTTACAACAATGCGTCAACTATAACCCCCATACTTGATTTCTCCTTTGCAAACTCCATTAGCATATGACATCATCTTTCCACGGTAAAGTTAGTGTTGATGTACTCTCCTAACCAAATCACCTGAGTGTTGTCAGACCACGCTCAGAGGCGTAGAGAATGAGTCTGCTAGCCTCGCACGTCTCCGTTTAATTAGCATATCTCCTCGTTAGTCTGAAATAGAGAGCTGGGAAAGAGCAGGCTGACTGTAATTACAGACCCTTGTCATCTCTGCACGTCTCTCTTAATCATCCTCATGCCAATTAACATCTGTGTGAGCTGATTGCAGACCAGCTCCAGAGGAACTGATTGCAACCTCAAAGTCAACTGCCTACACAAAACAGACAGCTCTCTCCAAGTGCACTACTGCCACCAATGCTACCGCTAATGGCCTTTATTCACCTTTTTACAAAATATAGGTTGTGCCTTCATGTTTGGGGATTGTCTACTGAACATAATGGAAACAAATCACTTAAAAGGGGCGTTTGATTTTGTGCTTTATTTTATCTGTTGTGAAAATAATGTTACATTGGATATTTTGACATGAATTTAGTCAACATAGACTCATTCTGAAAATGTTGCACTATATACATTTCTGGAGATCGTGAATTATTTAGCCAGAGCTATGTATCGCTGTATTTTATCTTTAAAACATATGCTATGGGGTGGTATGACGGCATTCCTTTTCCAGCTGTCCGCTTACCTCCATATAGACGGCTTTTCCAGTTTGTCCAGTAGCTCGACATGTACGTCGGTGGACTTGAGACAAAAAGTGAAGTAGACCATGACCATGGGGTTGTCTACAACTCCGCACAGAAACGCCAACTGACTCAGTTGAGGCTAGAACCAGCGACTATCTTGCTGTGAGGCGACAGCACTATCTGTTGCGCCTTGAGTGTAGTTACTTTCCTTTAAATGTGAGTAACTCTTTGCCATAAAAGCGACACTTTGACTTTACTTAAAGTGAGTACACCTGTTGTAACTTGAAACTGTTAAGTTGAATAAACTAAATTTACTAAATTACGCACAAGTTTCACTTATTAATTTTAAGGCAAAAATTTACTAGCTTTTATAAGTAGAGTCAACTAATCATTTATAACAGCTAAGTGTAGTAGAATTACTACAATAAACTGCAATTTACTAATATAAATATTTACTATTGTAAGCTTCAGAAACACTACAGCATTTACCGCAGGAACTTTATGTTTTTATAGTAAATATCAAGGGCGTAGATTTGCTAATCACATTTGTTGGGGACATGCAGTACATCCTTAAAGCGCATTCATACAGCACAGATTCTCTATTGCGAAAAAAGAATCAAGGCTTTAAACACTTAATAATACAAATAACAATGAATGAAGCTCGTCCCATACTGCAAAAGTCAATTTACATGATTTACCTGCAATCAGGCTTTAGGTCGTCGCTTTAGTATTATAAGGTTCTATCTGACATTTTTGTCAAAAGTGAGTTATTGACATATTCTTATTAAATGACAACTTATTCACATCATGGGATTATTTTTAAATTGTTTACATTTTAAGAATATTAATAAAAAAAAAAATGTTACACACATACACACATAGTGCTATGGAATGCAAAAACTTTGAAGCTCAATATCTCAAAATCATTCAGAACGCAGATAGAACCTTATCATTCCAAGGTGCAAGGTATGAATGTAGAGAACGTTAAAGAGGCATGTGATGTAATTAAACTGTTTTATCCATTGTTTTTCAAAGTCATGGAGGCCAAAATTGAACCTGAATTTTGATTAATTGCACAGTCTTGGTTAATAATGTTACGGTGGACAGAGAACACAGCAAATTCCTCGGAGTAAAATTTACTCAGTTCAGAGGGTATTTGGTCCCTCTTTGTAATAAGGCACACGGGTTAGTAATAAGTAAAGCTGCTGTTTGTGGAGTGCTTATTAATCGAGTTGATCTTCTGCTGAGATTTTGAGAGATTCGATGTATTACATTTAAGGCTGTGACTGAAGTCAGTAGTACAGTAGTTTTGTAAATTTTACTCAGAGTTTTACTGTGAACTTTAAGTGACTTACAAGCTACTTTGAAAAGTAACTCCCCATGTCCATGTCTTTCACAGTAAAGGACTAGAAAATGTCCTTGTTTTGGAGCTTCTCACATCCAAATGTAACTATAGCTGTCAGTCACTGAATGGCAGAAAAAAGCCCAGCCAATGACACTGTCCTTATGTGTTTAGGGGAGGGAGGACCAGAGAAGAGAATGAGATTTAACCCTTTCTGCATGTTTAAATTACTAAGGGTTGACGGAGCATTATTTTATTTTGAAGGCACTTAAATTATAGGAGGGGACATTTCTGTAATTGGTAAATATTGGTGGGGACACGTCCCCTCTATCTATGCCATATCTACGTTCTTGGAAAATATACTCCAAAATACTACTCTATTTTAGTTGTAAGAAAATTAAATGGAGGATATGCCACCTCACTGCACACAGTTTAAGAAGTTATGACCACAAAGTATCACTGGGCGACAGAAAAAGGTGGATAAACAGCAACTGGCACCCATATCGTCACTAGTCACTCAAGATGTCTCCCCAAAAAGAACTCCAGTTGGCTTGCCATGTCATATAAATTGCAAATAATCATTAGCAGATGCTTAATTCTCAAATTTCTTCATCACTTTCCTTCCTAAGCAGTGTAGATATAGCGCTGTCACCTCAAATGAACACTAATTACATCCAGCGCTCCATCAGCCCGACCCTCAAGCTAATGGTCAGTCAATTAACTCAAGAGTTTGTGAAATTACTGCAGTGCCAGAGCCGCTCTGATGTCCTGTGATTCCCGCACGGACACTAGAGAGAGAGAGAGAGAGAGAGAGAGAGAAATAGAGAGAGAGAGAGCTGCTAACCTATAGAAATCTCTCTGGCAAAGGCCATGGACACCAGAAGGAGTGGCAGGCCCACAGAAATGAACTTGATGACTTTATCCAATGGCAAATCCAGCTCCAGGTGTCGAATGCGATTGTCCCCATTACTTTCCTTCAGCAGGGCATCAGAGAGAATCGCTTGGGCAGCCGTGTTGGCGATAGACATGCTTACAGCTGTGAAAGGTAACAGAAAAGCAAACCGAAATTTGTAACCTTTTTTACATATGCATAGGCATGGGACGATAACCGTTTTCAAGGTATACCATGGTTTGGAAAAGTCAAGGTTTCAAAACCAGCAAAATTTTCTACAATACCGTTCCTAAGGTATGAGTACGATTTTTTTATTTACGTTTTATTTACAACAGTATCTCCTGCAATAAAGATTTCAAATTGTAATCATTTTACATTGTAAAAAAAAAACTTTGTTTTTGAAACAAATGAAGACAGAAGTCAATAATTCATTTAGCCTGACATGTTTGCCGTTACAAAATATTTAAAATGTTTCTCAAAAAATATATATATACTGTGTTTAATGGAGAAAAAAAGTTTTAGTTTTTTTTTACCCAGAGATTCAAAAAGAATATATTTTAGAACAGTAATCACATAACCGCAAAACCGTGAAACAATGATATTTGTTATCATACCGTCAGAATCTTATACCAGCCCATGCAGTATAAATCAGTATATAAAATAAAACAAATCCATTTAAGAGAGAGAGAGAGAGAGAGAGAGAGAGATTGAAAATGTAAACATGCACAACTTAAAAATAAAATTAAAAGCATTAAACTCTACTGTTTAAAAAAATATATATATACTGTACAATGTTGAAATTTGGTATCTATTAACATCTATTATACAGTGTGGAAAAAAAGGACGTTAAACCACAAAACCTGCCAAGTGTAGTTTTCATCTGAAGACTGAATAAATAAGCTTCCATTAATGTGTGGTTTGTTGTGATAAATCAATATCTGGCTGAGAAATTTCTGTTAGAATATCTGGAATCTGAGAGACAACGAAAATATACCTTTAAATATTGAGAAATTCACCTTTAAAGTTGTCTAAATTGAGTTCTTTGTATATGTGTTTTGCTAAACAAAAATTATTCCACTAATTTAATCATTTTTCATCTGTTTTTTTTGGGGCCGATTTTGGGGTTGATTGTGTTTTCCATGCTGTTGTATAAGTTTTGACTTTGTGTTGCATGTCCATCCGTGTTTCCCCTTCCTATTATTTTGTTTTTGTTTTTTAGGGGGTAGATGCCACCCTTTTCTTTTTATAAATATTTTCTCCTGTTTTTGTTCTTAGTCAGGGAGGTAGGTGTAGATTTTGTCTTTTTATTTCTGTTATTTTACTAGGTGTTGTAAGTTTCATTTAGGTGTTTAGTTAGTGTGTACTTTATGTTTAGTATTTTTTTTTTTTTTTGGCGATAAAAAAAGAAAAAGACAAAAAAAAAAGACAAAGAAACCCGGGTCAAAAGGGTCGTAAAAGTAAATTTTATATTTCGGTTGCTCTTTTATGTTGCAGCCTTAACCCTAGACCAGGGTCGTAACAACCGATGAATGATTGATAAATGACGAACACTTCCGAACTCCACCTGTTAATTTCAGCTGCCTATATTGACCTTATTCTAAAATGCGGAAGTGCGCCTGTTTTCGCGATTGTCTTAGAACTTCCGATTCAGTCGCCTATGGGAGAAATGACTAGGAATAATAAACGGCAGAAAATGGCCAAACTACTTGCTCAACAAACAAATGTTTGCATGACTACACAGACCAAGTAGCATAATATAATAAGAAAATATTAAATTGCAACATCAAGCAGCGTAACGAGCAGTTGTTAACGACAAAAAGTGAATGGAAGTGAATGTGACCGGAAGTCGCGAGACAAAAAGATTCAAATGGCAGCGCCCGCTCGACAGAATAAGGTGAATAAGTTTAGGTCAGGAAATAAAAGTTGTTGCGCACCTCCTGAATGTAAATCTTGCATTATATTGAGGATAACAGAATTCTGTAAATCATATTATTCATTTGTATCCAATAAATTGCTAACATCCAATAAATTGCTCATATGTTAATCATTGAAGAATAACCTCTCCTGACCTTTATTATTGAACAAGCATGGAATTAATTGAACATTCCAACAGAATAAATGTAAGTATTTGATGTCAATATGACATTGGTTTAAGATGTTTAACTCGATTTTGAATTTGGTCACTTTCCAACAGAAACTAAATTCAATTAAATATCAACATCATTTGACGTCGTTATAGAACATCAAAAAACATCCTTACATGCTGATTAGACATTGAATTTTGGTCACCTGATGTCATGACCCTACTCCAACCTAATATTAATGTCATATAATGTTGTGTGCCTGCTGGGATTAATCTTCGATAGGCTATGCATATAGGATGACTTAACAAAAGGCACTTTTGATGATGTGGTTTATTAGCAAGTGATACAAGAACACATAATGAATGATTAGTCTTACTTACATGATAAAGTATCACATTAGGCCTTCCATGAAATCATTTCATTAAACAGTAATTATGTCTCCATTAAATACGTTAGCAGCTATCCAAGTTCTTATTAGACAGAACCACTGATGCTCTGCCACTTTAACACACAATCATTAAAAAATGATTATTAGATAGCAAAATACTGGGCGTTTAGCACACTGTGTATAAACTCATGTAGTTAACCCCAGTTAAAGAACGTTACAAAATGGTTTGCACCATTTTAACCCTGACGTATGAAATGATGCTTCGGATCAACAAACAGTGTTTACTTCGTTTAATATTCATAAGGCTTGTGGGACAAATCAACATGTCAAATGCAATTAAACTCGAAGAAATGCATATATAACTCAGGATTATCTTTTAATGAGCTTTTTTACACACTGCACATTGTTATTGTCTTTTTAAATACGTTTTAACCATATGTTTCACACAATTTTTGTAGCTGGTGGTTAAAAGAACACTAAACAAACAACCAGCGTCAAACTGAAACGAGAGCTAATCTGCTAATACATATAGTTTAAATTTTAGCACAGTGCTGTTTTAAACGTGTTAACCCTGGGTTAATCGAAGTATATGAAAATATGCTTCAAACAAACAACCAAGCATAAACGGAACAGCGTTTACCTCATTAAATATTCATGATGTTTGTTCAGTTCGACATTTTCTGTATAGGAGCTTGAGGGAGGGAAAAAAATTCTAATTCAAAGTCAAACGGAAAATGAGTGAAGAACGGTTACACTTGCAGGCCCTTAGCTAGTCAGGTGAAAGGGGTGGTACTTTTTGCAGTTATTTCTCTCATTTTCTATTTAATTAACTACTCCATTTAGTGACATTTTAAGGACAATTTTAGCTGAATTAGGTTCGGTTGGTCACCAGAACCAGTTTTTGATGTAACGTTACCAATAATATTCACTAAATATTTAGACTAAATAAATATGAAAAAAATGATTACATTAAATATTATTAGAAAAAAAAACTAATTTTCACTTATTAGGCAAATACCAAACTGGCCAGTACAACTTTACCCAGTCTGAATTTTGGCGATTTAATTAATAAACAATGAAAACATAAAAATAATGATGATGATGAGCTTCATGATTTGGATAACTACATGGATAACTAAAACAGCCCAACTATTAGTATTAAAATTAACTTGATTATGGGTCACTATAGGAGCTTCACACCTTTTCATTGGTCATTTTTTCTTTCAAGAATGAGGTCGAAGATTAAGAATTAAGGCTACAGGTAAAATGTTTCTCCATTTAACAACAATGTAGGTCAGTAGAGAAAGATGGTTTCAGTTACTTCAAATTTTATCTTAAAGCCTTCGATGGGTTATTGTCACAGTTTATGATGGTATAGCAGTCAAAATAGCAAAAAATAAGCTCATGTATGGGACAAATTCTGGATTTTTGTTAGTGTGGTAGGTCTTTTAAACCACCTGTAGAATATCATTTAATTACTTAAAGGTAAACATTGTGAAACATAGCGAAACATGCAAGGATTATATTGTTACATCAATAAACAAAATAAAAATTTACAAAATAAATTTGTTTATATTTGTTCTTACAGTACCTTGTTGAGTTCCTTATCCAACAGAGGAATCTACGGTAGCTCAATCCGGCAGTAAACTGGTCCTGAAGCTGGAGAGCCGAGGTGTGCTGGCGTGGATCTTAAATATTGGGGGAGGTCTGAGTAAAATGAGAGGCTGTACTAGGCTGGTTTCAGGTAATTAAAATAGTTAGAGAGCACTTTTTTGAGGCCTGCTAGGGAAAACGCAGAGAAAGAGAGAGAGAGAGAGAGAGAGGGTGGAGATGGCCTGCAGATCTACGTGCTCATCAGCCTAGTGGCACCAATCCACTTCAAATGAACCCGGCGATGTGGCTTTTCCTGCCTCTGTCATTTCCAGTGTTATTTATACTCTGAACAGCCTTGCTGAAGAGTGCATGTACTGGACTGCCACAAACGCTGTTATTTCAGATGCATACAGACCTTCATGACAATTAAAACTCCTTAGAGTGCCGTTTAACCCCCTGATGGCAAAAATATGTTGTGCAGCTTTCTTAACAATCGTACACACTGAAAAATATGATTCATTAGTTACAACTTTTTTTAAGGTAAGTGCTTGAAAATAATCAATTTGGGCTGCATTTACACAAACACATTAAGTTGAGCATTACTAAATTTAGTTTGTTTGTTTAAATTCAGCCCATATTAGTCATTTGCAACCACTTATCTTGAAAAAAAAAATGTAAAATTCCAATGAATATTTATTTTCAGTGCACGTAAAGGCTGAAAAATGACATGCAGAAATGGCAATTTGCATGTAAACCCAGTAAAGTTGTCTGCTCATACGGCAAGGGTTTTTATAACATCTGAAGCCACCCAAAAATATTCACATATGGGAAACCAGTCCAGATTGTAGTTTCCAGTAGCCTTAAATAGTCTTTAAAAACAGTCCTTGCAGAAAATCATGCCATTTCACAGCAAGAGATTTTTAGAAATCTGAACTTTACCCTAGAGGTTGCAGTTATTTAGGTTACAAAAAGCATGACTGAAGTATTCAAGCCCAACTTTCCAAGCCTTTGGTCTATAGATATTGATGCGGCAAACTCTGTATTACTCCTTCCTCAAGATTATGCTTCTTTATTATTTATGACACCATTATAATGCCTAGCCTGGACATCTAAATCATGCTGAACATGCATAAATAAATTCCACATCGTTTTTAAAAAATACATAGCTCCCGGCAGTATAATACTATTGTGGTCCTTGTGTTTATCTTTAGCAAAAGTAAGAAATTAGTTAAATATACAAGCAATATTCACACACACACACACACACACACACACACACTGAGCTCTAGACATAAACTTATTTTATCAAACATTTTCCAGAGTTGTTCTGTGTTGTTATCATAAAGCAGTGTATTGTGTAGAATATTACAGTTTTTACTTTTATTATAAGTTTTAATTTTAGCTTTTTGTCAATTGCAATTTTTGGCAAAGAGTAATTGTGAATATTTGCATCCAAAATAAAAGTTTGTTTTGACATAATATATGCGTGTGCATTATATATATTTATGATCCATATGTGATAAACACACATGCATAGAAACATTCATTCATTCATGTATTCTCTTTTCGGCTTAGTCCCTTTATCAATCTGGAGTCGCCACAGCGGAATGAACCGCCAACTTATCCAGCATATGTTTTACGCAGTGGATGCCCTTCAAGCCACAACCCATCAATAGGAAACACCCATACACTCCCTTTAACACACATAAGGACAATTTTAGCATACCTTATTCACCCACAATATAGCGCATGCATTTGGACTTGTGGAGGAAACCGGAGCACCCGGAGAAAACCCACGTGAACACGGGGAGTACATGCAAACGCTACATGGAAATGTCAACCGGCCCAGCCGAGGCTCGAACCAGCGACCTTCTTGCTGTGAGGTGACAGTGCTACCCACTATGCCACCCTGCATAGAAAATAAAACTATACAAAACAATTTTGTAACATAGATATTCAAATGTATATATAATTTGTAGAATATATCCTTATAGTTTATATCTAAATGTTAATATATATATATATATATATATATATATATATATACATACACGTGTATATATATATGTATATATATATATATATATATATATATATGTGTGTATGTGTATATATATATATATATATATATATATATATATATACACACACACACACACACACCCAGTACAGACACATACTGTATATGCCACAACTTTTTTTTTGGATGCAATAAATTTTTTCCAAGTACAGGTTTATATATAGTCATTCCTTCATTTTACTTTAGCTTAGCCATATGTTTTACGCAGCAGATGCCCTTCCTGCCACAACGCAGTATTAGGAAACACCCATACACTATGGCCAATTTAGTTCACCTATAAACTTTAGTTAATTCACCTATAGCGCATGTCTCTGGACTGTGGGGGAAACTGGAACACCTAGAGGAAACCCACGCAAACACAAGGAGGACATTCAAACTCCACACAGAAATGCCAACTGGAAGAGTCTCCCGGCGACCTTTTTGCTGTAAGGCGACAGTGCTAACCACTGAGCCACCGTGCCAATTGTCATTTCTGTTTAGTTGAAGTTAAATGGGGTGACATGAATTTAGGAATGCATGTTGGTAAAGTATTATTCATCATACATCTCACCAATTTGTGTATATATATATATATATATATATATATATATATATATATATATATATATATATATATATATATATATATATATACATGTATTTAGAATTGCCAATGTGTAAATAGCTTGTAAGAAAACTTAAAGCCTAAAGAGTGATTTTTATGTTGAGATAATTTGTCATTCAAAGATCATTTCAAGAGAGTTTTGAATCCCTGCAAAATCTTTTTTTTTTTTAATACTTTTAATCATGGATAATATCTTGTACATTATGTGTACAGTACTGTACATGATTGTTGTTGTAGTTCAATTTATGACCACTGTAATCACTAATGAGAAAGTTCACTGGATTCTCCACACAGGACTTTTAAAAGTGATGTAAGTTTTTGATCTAAAGCATAAAAAAGCGTAATATGTTTCAAGTTGTTAAAGAAACATGCTACATGAAAATACTTATCTAAAAAACATTGTAGAAAATCAGATATTCTGCTTTGAAAATGTGTTTTCTGTGCCGGAACCGCTGTCTTTGTTTTGGTATTTTTAACCTGCCGGATGCCAGTTTAGCCAATTATATTTCAGCACTCCAGGTTGACTTGGTGGAAAACCACATATTTTATTCATTCTTTCATTCAGAAGGGCTCTGAAAGCATGCATCTGTGACCGGAATGCGACTTCCAGTGGACAGTAGCAAACTCCGAAATGAGATGCAGATTCAGAGTTCCACATGACGTTATTAATTAGCAAATAATATAAATAATACGAACATAAACATTAAATGAGCAGGTTACATTGTAACCGCGTGTCCTAGCAACACGCTTCATGACAAGATGAGCAATTTGGCTGTTGGCCAGACGAAACATGACAGAAATTTAAATACAGCCATTCAGAAGCACAGAATATGCACTTACTCACGAAATGTAAGGTTTATAATCTAATTAATGCATATTTAACATTTTTAAATGAACATTCTGAATCACTCCTATCTGTTCATTTGTAAAGTTCAATTTTAAACAGTATTTTCTTTTCAAGATTTGAGGTGTTCTGCTTTGAGTATTTGGCAATAAATGTCATAAAAAATGACATTCAAACTCACATTGTTGGCATTTAACACTGAATAAAGCACATGAGGTTTACCTGAGGTGATCATTGTCAGTTTTCTTTTGTTCACCTGTGAGAAATAGAAGCCCTTTCTAATATATCAATGCTTTGGTTAGGACAAAAACTCCTTTTTAATATGGAAAATATTCCTTCTATCGGGTGCCGTTGCTTTTATTTCAGAACACAGTTCAAATCACTTGCTCTTGTCCTCAATCTGGCAACCTGCCAGCGCTTGGTTTGATCCAAGATTGCAATAACTAGTTCAGCCACTGGGTGTCAAACCCACATACTGCACCATATCGATAATGACCCCAGTTTAGCACTAACACAGTTTACCACTACCTCGCTTGTATTCATTTGTAGTAGCACTTCATTAGGTCTCAAAATGACAAAGAGATCAACTAAAGTTTTTAAGTTTTTAAAGTTTCAACGTTTTTAATTATCAAAATGGTCTACTGAAACACAATAGATTATGACAACAATGTATACAAACAAATAATTAAAAAGCTCCCCTATCATCACTTGCTCTGGAAGAACCATTTAAAAAAAAGAACAACAACCAAGAAAAGGATAATGAGAAACATGTACTTCACAAAGACCAACTGTAATAACATTCAGAAACATCCTCTGTCTTCTCTAAACATCACATATCAGAAACAGGTGATTCTGTAGATCCGTAGATACAGCTCAGAAATATCTTCACAGTTTTTTTTTTTTTGTTTAGTTTCGTCCTTCACATAAAATAAAGCAGGGGCGTTTCAGGGTGTGATACGCACCTGTAAATATGTCTTTTTGTTTTTCCTGCAGTGTTCTTCAGTAAACGTCATTTGTAGGTCCAAACATATTTCGGAGAGAGTTTTTTGTTCCTCGCTATGGAAGAGATGCTTGGCACTCTGAGTCTCCCGACATGCGTTTGCGGACGGCATCCTTTGTTGATTGTGCCACAGCCTTCTGACAGATTACAAAATAAATATGAAGCGTCTGAGGGGGGGAAAATGCATCACTGTCAAATGTACATACATTGTGCTGTCAGGCATTTAGATTGTTTCTTTTTTTCTGTTTGTTTAACTTCCAAGACTGAATATTTTGTTAACTCTACAAAAAATGAAACTAATAATAATAATAATAAAAAAACATGCCTAAAACATCCACTCATTGCATGGTTATAAATATGAGGGTAGACATAATGTCATGCTAAGACACCTGAGAACCAAAGAGACATATTTAAAGAAAGTAAGGCTTAAATGGATTATATGCATGAGAGTAGCATGACCGGTTGCGTAAAGCGGCCCAATATACAATGTTCCATCAATTTTGGAGTCCAGAATGGTAGGCCCCTCCCCTTCATTATGATTGGGTGCTCCATGGCACTTAGTGTCCAATGAGAGCCATTTGTGCGGCGTTGAGATGTTTTGCATGGTGATGAGTAAGAGTTAAGTCAGTTATGCTATTTTTCATTCTTTATTCGAGTCCTTCATTGTGATTGAGGCCCAGATCTCGCCTGATCATCTGTCTGCTCGCCTCGTGTTCTTCGTCGTCCTCTTCGTCGTCGTCCTCATCGAGTCCCTCGTCTTCCTCCTCCTCCTCGTCCTCCTCCTCTGTGCCGTCCATGGAGTCGTCGGTTCCGCCCAGCATGGCCTGCTGCATGGCCAGCGTAGCCGAGTCTGAGGACAGAGGCTGCAGGCCGTCCATGCCAAGAGAGTCTGACAAAGGAACACACACAAATACATGCAAAACAGCTGACAAAACTTGGTAACTTACTTGCTTATTCAATCTACAGCAGGGTTTCATCAAGTCCAATTTAAGATTTTTAAGACCCTTTTAAGACCATTATGAATGAAATTTTAGACTTATAAAAGGCTAAACACTACTGATTATTTCTAATTACCTGATTGGGCCAGTGAATTTTTTGATTTGCTCGGCACAAAAAATAAATAAATAAAAAAAATAATCAAGTGTACAGTAATCATTACTTAACGGCATAATTTAATGTGTCAAAACAAGAAAACTCTCGTTGTATAAATTTTTTTATGACACGTTTAACATTGTTAAAAAGGCATATTTATTGTGGAGGCAATTACATAAATATTCAAAAATATATACAGCATTTGTTGGCTTTTGGTCCAAATTGATTGACTATAACTTCTATTCAACCTAAAGCATTTCTGCTATAAAACCTTAAGTTTCATGTCTATTTATAAATATTATGTTTACTCGCTTTTTTTGTAAATGTTTTTTGAATGAATGGTAGATTACATAAAGGGATAATGTGCTCTGACATTATCTGATTTTTTTAAGATGAATTGTTGGTGATTGGATGGATGTCGGCCCGATTGGGTAGCTTTACTTGAACAGAGGAAAATTAAGACCTGTTTAAAATTATTTAAGACATACAACACAGTATTTCAGTGAATTGAAGAGTTTTTAAGATTTATTACGACCCCACAGATAAAAGCTAGTAGATTATTTGTAATTGTTACTGAGTGAGTTAATATTCGGAAATAATATATTAGTAAAAAATATATAGATATAAGTACTGTTAGCGAATAAGCAAGCAAGCATGAAAAATTCTGGAAATCTGCAAACTAATAACAATTGTAAATGTATATACAGTTGAAGTCAGAATTATTATCTCCTTTAAATTTTTTAATTATCTATGTTTAACAGAGCAAGGACAATTTCACAGTATGTTTGATAATATTTCTTCTTCTAGAGAAAGTCTTATTTGTTTTATTTTGGCTGGAATAAAAGCAGTTTTTAAATTTTTGATTATTAAAAATTATTAGCTATTTTAAGCTATAAACTTTTTTGATAGTCTCCTGAACAAACCATCGTTATACAAATAACTTACCTAATTACCCCCTCCCACGTAGTTATCCGTATTAACCCAGTTAAGCCTTTAAATGTCACTTTAAGCAGTATAAGTGTTTCGAAAAATATCTAGTCAAATATTATATCTGTCATCATGGCAAAGATAAAAGAAATCAATTTTTAGAAATGAGTTATTAAAACTTTTATGTTAAGAAGTGTGTTTAAAAAAAATTCTGTTAAACAGAAATTGGGGAAAAAGTAAACAGGGAGGCTAATAATTCTGACTTCAACTATACAAACACACACACACACACACACACACACACACACACACACACACACACACACACACACACACACACACACACACACTTGTAACAAAATGTTGTGGATAAATAAGAATACACCCACTAATGCATGAAATGGATAATTAGATTTGGTTGATACATTTTTACTTTTTATTTAGTCGTCTAACTTTTGTCATAAAGCTTAATAGAATATGACTGACTGTCTGAGTTGTTTGTGCCGTGTGTCTGCAGGACTCCAGCTACAATGGAATCGGGCCAGAAGCGCTGTGTGGGTCTGTGCTGAGATTTCATCTTCTTGGCTTTGGGAGCAGGGTCAGGATTACTGGCATCCAGCATGGGCTGCAGAATACGCCTGCGGGCATTGATAAACCTTCCAAAACACAGGAGAATGAGGAAAAAAGTACACGGATAAGAGCGGGATTTTTGTTAAAAGCCACAGAACGTGCACGTCATAAACACAGTGTGTGATTCTGGTGGTGGCCGTTAGATGGCGCCAGTTTGTTGTGGATCAAACACACTGGACAAACTAACGAGTCTCTTACCAGTTGTTCACCTGTAATAAGGTAAGGTTTGTTTGCGCTGCAATCTGTCTTTTCTCATCTTCTGTTGGATAAGGGTGCTGGAAAATGGAAAACAGAATGAATAAGTAAAATTCTGAGGTAAAATTAAGGGTAAAGATAACTCTAATATGAACAGTTTCCCATTCATTTACACTCCGTCAAACTGTTTATGAGAATTTTACTGTTTACTCATGTTCATTTTTCCATGAGTATAACATAAAAAAGAAAGCTGAAACCACTGATCCTTGGTAATGCAGCACTTTAAAAGTTATCATTATGTGGCACATAATGATACACTGACAATTTTACTGAAGCAAAAAGATCAACCTGTGTAAGAAACTGTGTAAAAAGATCCTTAAATGTCAGCAGCGAAATACTCTGATTGCTGAAATGAAATTAATTAAGCATGTTTTGTGTTTTTTTTAACAATTGCAGATTTGCTTTTCTCTGTTTTTGTTTATTTTAAAGCATACTGAATCTGTAACTGCAGTAATCAGTCAATAACTGAGCAAGCAAAATATCTGGCATAGCTTATTTGAAAAAATAACACCGTTTACAACATTATTACCCTTAATTAACAGTCCTAGTTGCATTTATGACAGGATGCAAACTCACACCAGAGCTGCTGCTGTTTGTCAGATAAAGAGGACATGTGTATTGTAATATTACTCAAAATGATACACTGTAAAACCCAACAGTTAAATTTATCAAATGAAATGAGTGCAGTTAACTCAAACTTTACTGAAAGTGAATTCTACTCATTTGAAAAGAGTTTTGAGTTCAGTGTTGAAGGTAATGAGTTAATTAAACACCTAATTACTTTAAATGGAGTAAGTTCACAGTACTCTAGATTTGTTTTTTAACTCAAATAGTTTGTAGCAATCGGTTTCCTCAGACGGTTTGAGTTGGCTTATTAGGTCTTACAGTACTCAGTTGGTTTGAGTTTTCTCAGATGGTTCGAGTTACCTTAAAGTTTTGAGTTTAACAGTGTACTTGTGCTGAAACTTATGTTAAAAACTATATAGGTCATCTTACATTCAAGTTTGGCTCTACAGTTATGTCATAACATTCGTAAGCTTGCTTGTTGAGCATGTGCAAAGGTACTAATGTTCTAAATATTGTTTAATTTCTAGCATAGATCATTCCGTAAGATCTCAATGTATCACCAGGGGTTACATGTATTCATGTTGTTTTGCCTGTGTGTGTTTTTGACCCTCAAAGTTCAGTTATAACCATTAACATGTATTAAAATAGTAGAATCAGTGTTATTAATGATTAGGGTATCTATAAGCTAGTGTGCTCCAAAAAAGTGACACAGTTTGTGTTTAGGAAATATTAAATTTATATAATCATGTTTTTAAGAGCTCTTATCTCAAAAGATCAAGGCAGTTACGGTTTGTTAGTTCATGACCCCTTTAATGGAAAACTCTATGTTTTATTATTTTTTGTTAATATGTTTAATTGACAAGTCACATAGAGTTAAACAGTTGAGTATTACTATTTTTTAACCCATTCAGCTGACTACCACGTCTCACAAGATCACTTTTAGCTTAGCTTAGCATACATTATTGAATTATATTAGACCATAGGCATCTTTCTCAAAAAAATACAAAAAAGCTTGAAATACTTATTGAAAGCTTGATCTTCTGTAGTTACATTGTGTACTAAGACTGACGCACAATAACAAAGTTGCTGTTTTCTAGGCTTATGAGTATGGCTATAAACTTTACTCTCATTCTGGCGTAATAATTAAGGGACTTTGCTGGTGCACCATGGCTGCAGCAGGTGCAATGATATTATCTTATGTACTTAGTTACCTAACTGAAGACTATTTTCAGGCTCTGTGTAATAGCAGTTCACCTGCTACAGCCATGGTCAAAGTCCCTTGAATTTTACCCCAGAATTAGATTGTAGTTCCTAGCCATATTGACATAGAAAAAAGCAACTTTTCATTTTCAGTCGGTCTTATTACATGATGTAACTACAGAGGAATCACACTTTAAATAGGAAAAATTATCAAAACTTTTTTTTTTTTTTTTTTTTTTTACAAGATGCTAATTTATAGCTTTCAACCTTGGGATGTGAAAATAAGGGATAACCCCCCTCCAAAAAAAATAAATAAATAAAAAATAAAAAAATCCGCAAATTATTAATATATTCTTCTGGATTGGTTTCATAAGTTTTTATGCTCATTTAAGACTAGAATTTGTTATGTTAAAAAAAAAAAACACCAAGATCGACATATTTAGGTGTTGTTATTATTATTATTATTATTATTATTATTATTATTATTATTAATATTATTATTATGTGTATATGTCCACTTTTGTACTGCTTCAAATCGTGTGTACAGAATCCGTTTGGAAAACAGCGTCTATATAGAGCGCCGCTGACAGTCACGCACCACTACATGAACTGACTGTTTTGAGGATTCCATAGGAGGGGCAATGGAATAAAGGAAGGGAATCCTGCCATTTTTAAATATATTGCAAAGTGTTTTCGGATTCAGATTTAAGAGCATCCCCTCGTAGTTACGCGGTATGGGTTGCATATAGACCATTTCATTGAGGTGATGTCATTGGCCCATGATTATTTCCTGCTTATTGTCAAACTGTTTCATATCCTTAACAAGAGGCGATTCCATCATAACTTGATGTTATAACAGCTATTGTAACATTATTTATCAATATGTGGAACTTTTTGGACTCTCAGAAGCTATGGAAATTTAAAATGTAAAACAGAAAATACCTCAGAACCATTGTTATTGTTTACATCTCTCAAAATGGTCTATAGGGAGGATTGACTCTTCAATGTTTATTACTACCCTTTATAGAAAGATAAATGTGGGAGAAAAGCAAAAAAGTACCTTCATGAGATGATAGTGGTATAAAATTGTAAAATACAGGAAAATCCTGGAAAAAACAGGAGGGTTGACAGGTATGTGCTAATGGTCTAATCAGATTCAATGATCTATGCTAAGCTAAGCAAAAAGTGCTCTCGCCAGATTAGCTAATGAATTAAAAAATTTTAAAAACTCAACAGTTTCACTTTGACTTGTGAAATGAGCCTATTTTCAAAAAAGTGTGTTCCTTTTTGTTTGGCTAAAAAATACTGTTGGATCCCTTTAAAAACATTGTCTTCATCTCACTGGAGCTCTAATAAAACCAGCAATGTGATCCAACTGAAATGCAGTACATTTTAAACCCTTCTTTAGCTTGTAGGGCAAAAATGCAAGAAAAATGTGTGTTTTTCTTTTTCTCTCACCATGAGATGCTGGAAGAGCCAGGAACGCATAATGTTTGTGGCATGTTTGGGAAGGACGCCTCTTTTGTTTTTTGATTTCTTGTCATCGCCATCCAAGAGTGAGGACAAGTCCAGATTCACCTTGGAAGAAAGAGAGAAGAGAGGAGAGAGAGTGAGCGAGGGAAACAAAGAGTGTCGCCAGTCACCATTTCTTTGGCAAGGAAGGGCAGGAATGCCTTCAGTCACCATAGCAACGCAATGGGAGTAATGATACCTAAAATTAAAGCCAAGGAGGTACATTTACAGAAGCCTTTCATCAACCAAAAAGAGCTGCGCAAAATGCCGTCAATTTTTTTTCCTCCTTTTCATCAAACTTATTATACGCTCTGAAGTACGATTAATGTAAGGCGAGCGGGGGGGAAAAATGCAAAAGGGTTTGAGAGCGACTGCGTTTAAAGGATGCACGCTAAATTAACTATTTATTTTCTTTTTGCTTTATGGCATTGGGAGACTGGCATATTAACATTTCAGAGAAGTTTAAAATGCATAATCTACGAGAGCGCCGTGCGCACGAATAAATAAATTAATAAAAGAGAAAAAAAATTAACATTTCCACTTTGAAAATAAGGATAATTAATTTCATGCTACCATTGCCACTGAAAGCCATAAAAAGCAGCAGCTCCCCACTGATTTTAAAATTTCGAAATAAATAAATAATAATCAAGCTCTAAAAACAACCTCCTCATTACATTTGCAGCTGGGTGTCATGTGGTTCTTCCCCCGTTCCTCTACTCAAAACACACACACATGCTTGCAGTACTGGGAGAGCGTGTGTAAGTGTGCGATTCAGGAAGCAGGGTGAATTAATTGGAGGCTTCATGCAGGGGTATTATTACTGAAAGCTTGTCGGAGATGTAGCTACGGGCGGAACTCTATTCCCAGCCTGCGTGTAGTGAAGCGCCTCGTCCCATAGTCTGGATCCACACAGACTCCAGCTGTCTGTCAAAGCTCAACTCACCTGACTCATGTTTGATGGCATAAACATAAAGTAACAATTCTAGAATTCGCAAACAACTTCATTGTGCTTTTAACAACTATCATATGCAATCTATCTACATGATGAGTGAATAAATGTGGTCGGTGAGATCCCATGTTTAACAAATATAGTGAGATTAGATCCAGCGGTAGATCCGTGATGAACAGTCCCACGTGCACAGCTCTCATCTGGGTAGATATGCTCCCATGCATGCCAGAGTGTATGTGTGTGGTCATGAGATGTGGGTTTTCAGTGGTGTAATGTAGACAGAGAGTTGTTCAGAAATGCTGGGTGAAACGCTAGAGTGGAAGCGGATCGTTTTCATTCTAAAACGCTGATTTAAAACTAAAATGTATTAGTGTAAACAGAGCCTCAGGGTTTTGGCGAACAAATGGACTATTTAGCTTTTCTGCAATGGTTCAATAAAAATAAAATGAGTTTTGGGGTTGGGGGAAGGCCTTCATGCTAAAATAGTTGTTCAAAATCTTATTCATGGATGGAAGAGAGGAAAACCCAGTAAATTACAAATACTCAAATGACTTTAATTGAGTAGTTTTTCTCAGAAATTGTAATTTACTAAGTAGTTTTAAAAATGTGTACTTTTAACTTTACTTTTACTGCAGTATCTGTAATTTGACTCCACTACTTTCTTTTAACCTGCAGTCACTTTATTTTTTCTTTTCTATGGGGATTGGAATCAGTCTTGTGGTTCCTGTCCAATTAAATCACACATAGATGGTCAATCGCATCAAAACGAACAACCTCAAGACATGGGCGATTTATAATTGCAGCAAACTGTTTTGAAGCATTAAACGTGTCTAAGAAGACGTCCAAAATCTTTACATGCATTGACCTAGAAACTGTTTAGATGCATGTCACTGATGAGAAGATGATGGATGTTTACTGTATGATTACTTAAATGACCATTCGTTAGAAGACGTTGTACCTCAACACTATGGGGACGTTGCGTTTTGTATGGATATGAAAATCGTTTTGGAGTCAGATCTAAATGTCAGGCTGACATCAATGTTCTGTGTCTAACTTAAAATCAACCAAATATGAACATCTAATGATGTTAAAGCTTGACGTTGTGTGGATGTTACCACTATGACGTCTATTAGACGCCGGATTTTGGTGGCTTATACCCGTCAGTATTTGACGTCAATATGGCGTTGGTTTAATGTGTTGGCTTGACATTGGGTTTTGGTCACTTTCTAACACTTTAATCAACCAAATATCATTGTCATTTCACATCATTATTGGACATCAAAATAATGTTGTCCTTAGATGGTGGGCAAAAACTGCTGGGCAAAAACTAAATGGACTACAGAATATTATGTTTACACACATCCACAAATGACATGTAAATGCATCAGCTTTTTATAGTGTAATACTACTCGCTACTTTTGAGTCCTTTAAAAAGGGCTACTTTTTACTCATACTTTGAGTAATATTTACAACAGATACTTTTACTCTACTTGCACAACATTTTTAAGCAAGTAATAGTCCTTTTACTTAAGTATGATTTTTCAGTACTCCACCACTGGAAAAACCATATAATCTAATATAAAAAACTATTATTATTATTATTATTATTATTATTATTATTATAATTATTATTATTGAATGAGCTTCAGTGAGGTAATTAACATTTGAATGAGTTTATTAATTATTTACACAGACATTTGTTAATCTTGTGTTTTATAAATGAGCCCCTTCACTCATTTGGCTTTATTATTATGTTATATTATTATGATAGAGACATTAGAAGGCATCAAAATACGTCTGATCCCACATAATATTCATGCATTAAAGATCTATTTTAAAAAAGGTTATTTGAACAAAAATACATTATTTTTTTTTTTTACTTATTTATACATTATTAATGAGTCCATCTATAGATTATTTTTATATTTAAAGTTATTTTATGGGAATAAATATACAAAGAAAGTGGATAAAATTGTATGTCAGCATATTGTCATTACTGCAAGCTAAAGCCATTTAAAAAATAAAAAAGTAATAATAATCAATTATACCATAGCATTACTCATCTTAACATGGCACTACACGCCAAAATTAGGGAACAATTTAGTTTTGAAGTTTTTGTATACCTCTTTAAATGTTAATTTTAGAAACGTACATTTAAATTTTAAAATGTAAATTTTAAAAGTTATGGGTAGGACCTAGGTATTACAATGTTGAGGTGGTTTATGATGACATGCACTGTGTACTCTCAATTTAAAATGCTTATAAAATCAAACTTTTGACATTCAACATTTTCTACAGGTTTCCAATGTAGGTGGTTTTAGGGATAGGATTAGGTTAATGCAATATAATAAGCATCATTTAACAGTATAAAATATGTTATGGATATTCTCATAATAAACAAGAAACACACCAAAATGTGTGTGTTTGTGTGTGTGTGTGTGTGTGTGTGTGTGTGTGTGTGTGTGTGTGTGTGTGTGTGTGTGTGTGTGTGTGTGTGTGTGTGTGTGTGTGTGATGTGTATACTGTCAAGATCAAAATTATTCATAACCTTACCGAGTTTTGACTTGATTGTTTTGTTCACAATGATGCCACTTGTACAAAGTCTTATTATTTTTTGGAAGAAGCCTGTGTCATTTCTGGTCTATAAAAATAATGCTGGTTGAATTAAAGTAACTAAGAATTAAAGTAATTCAAATTCAAGAATTTGAATTGGGTATGAATAATGTCAGGCTTGACTGTATATATCTAATGTTAAAATTGGATACACAAAAATAATACACCATTAACTAAAATGAAAATTAAATCAGAAAGAAAAAATAAAAACTTTTAGAATCATTTTATAAATATTACAAAATTATATAAAAAATAATAACTTTTATAATAATGCAGTTTGGTGGCGACACGGTAGCTCAGTGGTTAGCACTATTGCCTTACAGCAAGAAGGTGCCTGGTTCGAGTCCTGGCTGTGTCAGTTGGCATTTCTGTGTGGAGTTTGAATGTTCTCCCCGTGTTGCCGTGGGTTTTCTCCTTGTGCTCCAGTTTCCCCCACAGTCCAAAGACATGAGCTATAGGTGAATTGAATACACTAAATTAGCCGTAGTGTATGTGTGGGAATGAGTGTGTATGGTTGTTTCACAGTACTGGGTTGCAGCCGGAAGGGCATCAGCTGTGTAAAACATATGCTGAATAAGTTGCTGATTTATTCTGCTTTGGCGACCCCTGATGAATAATGGGACTTATCCAAAGAAAAATTAACGAATAAATGAATGAATGAATAATGCAGTTTGGCTTCTACAGTTGTTCAGCAAAACTCAACGGCTGCATCAGTTGTTCAGCTACAGCACTGCATGTGGAGTGTTTGCCTCACCTGATTGTTTTGGATCTGGATGGTTCCCTGTGGTAACCCCTGTGTTAACACCTGCCCCTGTGAGGTAACCATTGCCACCGGCTGATACAGCGTCCCACCTGTGGGAATCAGTCGGGTTATCACACACTTTACCTGCCCCGCCGAAAACATACTGTAATTACACAGCAGCACAAAAACAAACCAATTCACCTCCTTTACACTGCGCCAAAATAAAACAAAAGCGTATTTAGAAGCGGCTCAAGAGGAGAAACAAGGAGTTCTTGTTTTGCAGCTAATTAGCTCAATTTCACAGTAATTAAACTCTTTATTCACAATGTGGAAGTACTGTTTCTGGGCGAGATGGATGTAAGCAGGGAGAATTAGTCAAAGAAAGAGCCGTATAAATGAAGATAATGTGCATTACATGGAAGCTCGCATCGGCTTTCATTTAGTGTCACCCATTTGGAAAGGAAGGGTGTTTTGAAAGCTGAGATTTACAGCAGGGAAAGGGATTGATGATTGTGTTTCTCACCTGAGACCACCTGAGAGTTGATAGTGGTCATGGAGATGTTGTTCTGCTGCAGGGGACCGGCTGGGACTACGATCCCGGAGGAGTTCACTGTGCTGGAGACGGAGGTGAGCGATGGGGATGAGCTTTGAAGCAGGTCCTAGAAGAATAGAACGGAACTGGGGTTAACCTACACTGTAAAAAAAACATTTGATAAGTAATTTTCCATATTTTAAGATTCATAAGTCATTCATTCATTCACTTAGTCCTTTTATTAATCAGGGGTCGCCACAGCGGAATGAACCGCCAACTTATTCAGAAAGTTTTTACGCAGCAGATGCCCTTCCAGCCGCAACCCATCTCTGGGAAACATCCACAAACACATTCATACACACACACACACACACACTACGGACAAGTTAGCCTACCCAATTCACCTGAACCGCATGTTTTTGGACTGTGGGGTAAACCGGAGCACCCGGAGGAAACCCATGCGAAGGCAGGGAGAACATGCAAACTCCACACAGAAATGCCAACTGAGCCGAGGTTCGAACCAGCGACCTTCTTGCTGTGAGGTGACAGCAGTACCTACTGTGCCACTGCCTCGCCAAGATTCATAAGTGTTTTAGGTTTATACGGTTGTGAACTGCATCTCTGCTCATGTCGACTTATGATGTTAAAAATTCAACTTTACAGTTTAACAAAGGGACTTCATATTGATATTTTAATAGTCTGAAAAAATAATATAATGTAAAAGAGCTAATATCTAGAGAAATAATTCTGTAAAATAACAGAAAATGTAATGGCAGATTTTTGTACCATAATATACAACACCAACCCAGACAATATATCACTTCAAACTATTAAAATTGTTAATAAAAGTCGTTTTTTTTTTAACTTTCAAGGTTAAAGGTTGTTTGAAGAAAGATTAAGGTTTCATAATGCAATTCAAAAGCATAAGTAAACAGGAAATAATAAAAACAAATCAGAAAATACAGAAAATGCTAATTTATAGATAATTATTACAGTGTACAATGAGTACTATTACTACAGTACATTTAGTGATGCGCAATATATATATATATATATATATATATATATATATATATATATATATATATATATATATATATATATATATATATATATATATATATACAGTTGAATTATTAGCCCCCTTTGAATTTTTTTCTTTTTTTAAATATTTCCCAAATGATGTTTAACAGAGCAAGGAAACTTTCACAGTATGTCTGATAATGTTTTTTTCCTCTGGAGAAAATCTTATTTGTTTTATTTCAGCTAGAATAAAATAAGTTTTTATTTTTTTAAACACTATTTTAAGGTCAAAACTATTAGCCCCATTTAGCCTATTTTTTTTTTCCGTTAGTCTACAGAACAAACAACAGTTATACAATAACTTGCCTGATTACCTTAACCTAACCCAGTTAAGCCTTTAAATGTCACTTTAAGCTGTATAGAAGTGTTCTGAAAAATATGTGGTAAAATATTATTTATCATGGCAAAGATATAATAAATCAGTTATCAGAAATTAGTTATTAAAACTATTATGATTAGAAATGTGTTGAAAAAATCTTCTCTCCGTTAAACAGAAATGGGGGAAAAAAATAAAACGGGGGCTAATAATTCTGACTCCAACTGTATATAAATATATGGATATATAAATATCTGGAAAAATATCTTTATTGGCTGACATGACATATCATTATCTGTCTGATCAGCCAAAACATTTTGGATTATTTCAGCTGGTTGAACACTGTGATTGTATATGTGTTGACATTAAGGTTCGAATTTGTGCCTTTTATGTGCGAAGCCTTTAGAATTGCAATTTGTAAACGATTTTAAGAAAAGAAACATCTTGATTTTCTGCAGTTACGGTTTTAAATGAAAAAGGTTCATTTTTCTGCTATTTTTGTTTGCTTTATTTTTTTTTGTAATCAGGAAAAAAAATCATTATAAGACTTGTATTTACGGGCCTACATATTGGTTAAGGGTTACCGGTATCAGGTAAGAATTTAGTTAACTAAATTAGCAATTAGGAAGTTAACTATAGAGTGCAATAGGAAGTCAAAACATTCCAATGGGACACTGACTTTTAACAATAAAAAAATCCTTTTTGTACATAATTTTTAACAATTAAAATATTTAAAGTAAATCCCACTGTGTGGTTTTTAATTGACTTAAATGTTGTTGTTTTTTTTAACAGTCATTTGTTAGCAAGAATTTGTTGAGAAAAAAACTACATTACCCATGATGCTTTACAGTATTTTTCACCAATCACAGCCACAGCAAGCAAAGTGCACCAAAGGAAATATTTAGCTCAGCCCACTCTAATAAATATTCCCAGTTTTCTCTCATAAAACAAAATCCAAATACATTTCTATTTATAGATGCATGTTTAACAATAATTAGTAAAAGTATTATTGTATTACTGAGGAAAGTTCGTGAATTACATTCAAAAGTTTGTGAACAGTAAAATCTAGTAATATTTCTATAATCTCTGTATTTTTTTTCCTTGTATAATAATTTGGTTCATAAAAACATTTCTTATGAACATGAATGTCGAAAATAATAATTTTGCTGAAAACATCTTAAAACATTTTTATGATCAGTGTTTTGAAATATAAAATAATGCATTTTTAATAAATTATTCACAGTTGCTGAATAAAAGTACACATTTCAAAAGTACAGAAAACACTATAATAATCAACATTTGCCAAGAGTTCAGAATGCTAGTGAATACCCGATTATTACTGATTTATCTCCTCGTTTGATGGGCACTTTAATTCAATAAAAATCGATTGACAGTCCATCATAAGACGTCCAAAAGTGTGCACTTTTAAGTCTCCTCACGCAGAGGTCAGCAAAGTTCAGCAGAAACAGCGAGGGCAAGCCGGATGTGACCTTTTTGCGCCCTCAGGAGAAAGGCTTGTGTTGGTGCAAGTGTAAATGTTACTGCTGTGAGATTGTGTGCATTCATATGACGCTCTGTTTATGTGTTAGGGTCTGTGGAGGCACCTGCTGCAGGCCGAGGCTGGTCTGGGATGGAGAATACGGGCCGCCCAGGTCGTTTCGGAGCAGATTGTCACTGTGCATCTTGGTCTTGAGGCAGGTGATGTAGCGGTTGCAGAAGTCTTTACAGAGCTCGTTCACCTTCTCCAGCTCCAGCAGGTGGATCCGCAACACCTGGATGGCCTTCACCATCTAAGACAAATCAAAATAATTACAGGATTCAGTTACGAAACCATATACAGATGCAAATTATTTGCTCTTTTTACAAAATTTTAAACAAAATAGTTTGTTCTGTAGACAATAAAAAAAACATTGCCTAATAATATTCACCTTAAAGTTGTTTTTAAAAATTAAGCTTTTATTCTAGACAAAATAAAAACTAATAGGTAAATAAATATTACAGGAAATACCGTGAAACATTCCTTGCTCTGTTAAACATCATTGGGAAATGTTTGTTAAAGAAAAAAAATCCACTGGAGCGAATCATTTTGACTTCAACTGTACTTGCATTAGGGTGTCTAGTTTAATATTGTTTGTATTGGCTTATTCTGCAAATAAGTACATAAGCTCTCTTTTGCAATAGTTTTAGATCTTCCGATTCATTTTCCCTATGCGTATGGTAAGCTATAAAGGGTCCAACTACAGTACTTGTCCTGCAAACTATTTTGTTTTTGGTTGTACATCAAGATAAACATAATGTAATAATAAAAAACAAATTTGCAACCTCAAGCAAATTAATTATAAATAAAGTTTCAATATAAGTGAATGAGTCCTTAAATCTCGAGCCTTTAAGGTTACAATGTCTGCACTCATACTGCACATGAAAGAATAAGGTCAATACTGCTTATGGGAATTTTAAATGACTGAATTATTAAATATATCTATGTTTTAATTTAAAAATTAGTGCTGACTATTTATAGTTTACTTTGATTGATTTTAGTTTTATTTAGGTTTTTGCGATTTTGTTTTTGTTGTTTTATTCTTTTAATAGAATTAAGTTTTGCTTTATTTTTATTAATATTTTTAATCTTTCTCATTTTTTGTCATTTTAGTGGTTCACATAATTTAAAACTTTTCAATGTTTTGATTTGAGAATTTGAAATGTATATTTTTATCTTTTTATTTAAATTTTGTAGAAAACATGTTTGTTGTAATGTAATACTGTACTTACCGTAAACATATTAATTTCACTTGCAGGTGAGAAAAGTTCCTTACTTTTTTTCTAACTTTTTTCTTAACCTTTTTTTCTTGTTTTTTCCCAACAGGAAGTTTATGTCCAGAAAATAAAAGAAACAAAATTCTGAACTTTGAGATATAAACTCAGAATGAGGAAAAAAATAATAATTTCAAGGTGTAAACTCAGAATTGCAAGACAATAAAAATGATTATAATGACGTTACATCTCATAATAAATTTATGGATATTTTAAATAATTAAATTATTTAATTATTGAATATATTTATTATCTCCGATAATAGTTCGCTTTAAATTAAATCAAATTAAAATTGATACATAATCCATTTTATTACATATTTATTCTTTTAATGTTTTATCATTTACAGTAGAAAAACTCAGGAGGAATATGTCCAGCAATTCAGTGAAACAAAAGTCAGAATTTTGAGATATAAACTCAGAATTGTAAGTTACATAATTTCTGTTTATATTGGAGAAAATAATGAACAATTTGCAAGGTGTAAACTCAGAACTTTTGTACATTGTAAATTTACAAAAAAAACAACAACCTTAAATTGTAAATTTCATAATTCTCATAATTCTGCTTCCTCCAATCACTTTAAATGACACCAAATTAAAATGCATATATTCCTTTTTATTCCTTCATCATCCAGTTTCCTTATGCTAAATGCCACCAACCACCAACTATTCCGGCATATGTTTTACACAGCCCTTTTAGCCGCAACCCAGTACTGGAAAACACACATACACCCTCGCATTTACATTCGCACTCATATACTATGGCCATTTTTGTTTGTTACCCAATTAACATATAGTACATGTCTGTAGGGGAAACCAAAGCATGCAAACCGGAGAACATGCAGATACCACACAGAAATGATCTGTCAACTGGCCGAGCTGGGACTCGAACCAGTGACCTTCTTGCTGTGAGGTGAGAGTGCTAACCACTGAGCCTCCGTGCCGCCTCCTAATTCCTTTTATTACATATTTATTCTGTAATTTTTTTTTTTGTGATCAACTTTTTATTGTTTTCAGAGATCAACAATATTACATCTTGATTACATGTTCACACATCATAAATGTTAACTTGAGTCTAAAAGAGAAAAGGGGAAAAATAATAATAATAATAAAGAAATAAATATAAATAATAATATTCTGTTTATTTCTGATCATTTAAAGTAGAAAAAAATGATATAAAATAATAATTGAACAGTAAAATGAATATTGAATTGTAACTAATTACAAGTTTCAGTCTATTCATCTCAAAAAACACATCCGCTTCACTAAAAAGAAAATCAAAAATGTTTTTTTCACACCTAAACTAAAAATCAGTGTTGCCGAGCCAGTCCTCCTGTCGCCGTTTGCCTGCTCATGTTGCTTAATCCTCCAAACACTTTCTGCTGATACAGTTGGACAGGACTGAACGTTCAGCTCCAAGCAGCCATTCAAACAGTCACCGCCCAAAGTCAGAACTCAAGGACGACCAAATGGGCTAAAAAATGCTTTGCCAAGGAGGAGATAAATCTGCCAATTACCGCAGCTCGTTTAATCAGGGCTCGGTGCCATCTCTCTGAGGCTGCTATAACTGTCGCGCTGAAGAGTTAGTGAACGGCGGACCGGCGTGTGACCAGTGTGTCGTAAAGCACACAGATGCAGAGTTAATTGACTGAGCAGCGCTAGTCGGCCGAGCGCCCCGCTAATGATGAACAGTGACCTTTTTTCCTCCTCCTTCCCTTAATTTCTAATTACTGTTAACTGTCTTGCAGGGCGCAGAAGAGCAGGGATGATGAATATGAGGTTGGAAAAAGAGAAAGAGAACAGAAAAGAGCTACGGACAAGAGGTGGACGAGTGTCATTGTTACTAATACCCCAGAGGCGTTTGGGTAAATGTCATTAGCTACTGTACAGTTTTTGCCTACTTTGTACTTTGACTGAAGATCAAAGATATCAGCAACTCGCTACTTATTATTTCATAAAAACATGTATATAGTTGTCGGCAGAATTTTTATTCTTTCACAAATATTTGATGTTTAAAAGAGCATGGAAAAAATCATAGCATTTTCTTATAATATTTATTTTCTCCCAGGTAAAGTCTTACTTCTTTTAGTTTGGCTGTAGGGGAAATACTGTACAACACGCCACCGTTTTCCTCAGAAAACATATTTTCAAACGTGCTGTTGACTAGAATTTTTCACTAGATGTTGATAACAACCAAAGAAATGCACAATTGAAAAGACAACAAATCTAACTAGTTTACAAATGAAGTTATGTGTAATAAAATGAAACTACACAGAAAAAAAAGTATTGAACACATGAAGAAAGGGAAGTGTAAAACGGCAGTGAAAGCCCAGACAGCAGCTGAAATCTCTCAGTAGTTCTTCAGCAACTCTCTGCCCTTCATCATTGTAAATTAATATTTGCTGGAGCACCCGGAGGAAACCCACGTCAACACCGTGACGCCCCATATATGTATATACATAAATTCTATGTCAACTAATTTTTTCGTTAGTATGCATTCACAATGGTATGAACCTTTATGGGGGGGGGGGGGGGGGGTCAAATATATATAGATCAGAAAAAAGCTATTTCTTACAATTAAAAAATTTCCCCTCCCCCTCCTCTCACATCTTGTTTTGATGTCCTTCAGGGGAGATCAAGCGTTAATAAGGGTCTCTTTTAAACAGCAAAATTTAAAGAGTTACAATTTTACAGAAAGGGTTTTTATTTTGCGTTCAACTCTCAGAGACATTATTAAACAATATGCAAATGTTTAGATGTTTTTGTACAATACAAATTGTCAGTACTAAGTCTCAGTCTTTGGTGGATTAATATCCATATAGCTTTGAGAACTCTGGGATCAGTTTAACTTTTAAAAAAGCATTTAAAGACATTTTTTTGGTCAAGCTTTTAATTAACAGTATAAGTGTTCCTGTCCCTGGATTTAACTTGTTTTAATATGTTTTCTTTTATTGATATGTGTTCTTTTACCTGTTTTCGAGTTTTCTCTTATTGTAAAGCACTTTGTGACTTAATGTCTGTGAAAGGTGCGATATAAATAAACCTTTACTTACTTATTTGAGAGACCTGCTATAGCTTTGTTTGACAAACAAAATGATTTATTTGGATTTGCACTGTAAACTTTAAATACAAAGTTTAAAAGTTGTCTTGTTATATTTAGTATTTTGTTATTATTTATGTTTTATTATCCCTCCTGTGTCATTCTTTTTCAAATATTTCTCAAGTGCTGTTTTAAGGAAAGATTTTTTTTCCAACTCATTTTTAAACATAATAGTTAGTTTTTTTAAATAATTAATTAATGACAGTACATATTTTACTGGCTATTTTGTAAGCTACTGGTATAATACATAAAATGTCTGGCCCTTGTAATGAGTAATGTAATTCCCCAATTTATTCTAAATGGCACTCAGCTTTTTCTGCAGCATTATTTCCGGCATTTATAGGCTACTGAAAGCATTAAGTCTTGTACACACTTGACAAACCTGTCAGCAAATCTTCTTTATGTGAATGAGAGTGCATTAGCAGCCAATTGCTTAACCACAGATATCATGTATCACATATGAAATGAGAATATTTAATCTTGATTACAGCACTGTTGTTTTATCTAGAGCTGCTTTCCAACTAAATCACTGATATTGAACTGAACTGAATCAACAATGTTTCTGATCTGAACTTGACCTACAAATACTGCAAACTTGTTTTTAAAGAGCCACTTTACAACAGAATCTTGTAAGTTGAGATTCCATGATTGTTCATGCTATTTTTAGTTTACCTATTTGAAGATGCGTTGACACATTCTATTCTGGATAAAATACCTTAGAAACTACACTGCCTTTGTTGGTTTTTGTATCACTTCAACCAGCACATCAACTTCAAGTAGAATTTAAATATACCCTCTAATGACAATTACACTATGAATATTTTATTTTATAGTGGAATTTTAATGAATTATTTTGATCAATATTTACATGAAGAGACCTTTTTGAAGGATACTGCTTTACTTATGCTCTCATTACTTATGAGTATTGTGTCAACCTTGATTTATTGCAATATTGAAGGGTTCAGCTTTGTTTCTACAGTATTTTAGAAAACAAATGTGATTGCTCTTATCACAAACCAGCTCTTTCTTTTATTTTCACAGGCATGCCTTGTGGGTGTTGTGGACTAGTGTGTCTTAGAGAAAAGACTTTCACTGAAGTGAGTTTGTTATAATGGAGCTATTTACACAGAACGGTGCTTGTACATTTACTTAAATATGATTTACAGATACTTTCGAATATTACCTCAGAGCTTGTATTTTCAGCTAAAAGTTATTTTGCTTTATATTTCAAGACTGAAGAAGTCATTTGAAGAAGTCCAAATGTACCAGCAGAGGGCAGTGCAGATGTGACGTGCAGATATTCAGGATGTAAACAGGTTTTCCTAAGGAGCTAAAGTTGCTAAAGCTGATATACTGTAGATGAAGAAACGAGACTCGTGAGTGTTTACCAGGTTGTCTAGTTCAGGATCCTCGCTGAAGAAAGGCTTGTGGTCCTGCTCTTGCTGGTGGACAAAGTTTTCGATGTCGACGTCGAAGCTGGCGGATGTGATGCATTCTGAGCCCTGCGTGGCTTGTTCACACTTCTCAAACAGCAACGCCAGAAGAGGAAAAAGAGGATGCCTGTAGGGTACAGGAAGAGATGTAGTATGTGTACTGTGCACACTATTCCCAGTTAGCATGCCAGAATAAAATGCTGTTTATATAATGCAACATTTTTTTTAAACAACCTTGGATTTCAAATGTATTCAAAGATTTTAAAGCATATAGGTCTCACACTCAATTCCTGGAGGGCTGCAGCTCTGCACAGTTTTGCTATCAACCCCACAGCTGATCCAACTAATCGAGGAGTTCAAAAGAGTCATGATCACCTTCATCAGTTGGATCAGCCCTCCAGGAATTGAGTTGGAGACCTACTGTATGATTTAAAGAGATGTAAGAGACAGAAATAAAACACATCAACTTCATATTTTCAATAGGCATTTTTTTCCACATACAAATTCTACTCTTTTGAAATGTAAAATTATAGTTCACATAAAACTGAAAAGGATGTCGTCAGTTTGAGTTAGGTTTTTCTGTTGAACACAAAAGAAGTGCCATTGATTTCATAGTAGAGCTGCACGATACTGGAAGAAAATAAAATTGCGATGTTTGGTTGTTCTGCGATATATAATTGCGATATGAATAACATTTCACAAGATGACTCTGTTTTGGATAGATGTCAGAATTTTACATCAATTGGGGACTTCCGGTTCAGGGGCGCATGGAGAAGGCTGCTCGTGTCTAAGCTACAACAATCCTCCAAATAATTTTTAATTATTGAGCCTTAGATTTAATTATTAATCGGCAAAAGTGTGCTCAAGAGATTCAAGAACACATTAAGCCTTAATAATGTCAAAAAACTTGAAAAAAGAAAGTAGATTACAAGAAGAGGTCAACGTCGACCATGGCAAAGCTGGCCATTAAGAGGAGCTGAGGCAAGACGCCAATAAAGGTGGCCCAACTTCTCATAACAATCAAGACGTTATGGATGCTATAACATAATTTTACATCAATTTGGATGATTTTAAACAAGTGCACATGTGCATAAGATAAATAAAGATAAAAAACATGAAAGCAATAGAACAAAGATAAAAATGAAATAGACAGTGCTTTATGGTTTTCGATGTTTAACAGTATGCAGGTACAGAAATTATATTTAAAAAAAAACTTGTGAAGGTTTAAAACTATTTGAGCGTGAGTAACTAGTGACTAAACTTTCATTTTGGGGTGAACTAACCTTTAAACCACAATATCCAGAAAATAACCAGCTTTTTGGTTCAGTCAGGATGACAACACGCAGCCGGCGGATAATATAATCCTTGTTATCTTCATTTAATTGTAGGTATAAGCTCTGTCTAAAGGTTTCTTCTAGCAAGTTGACATTTGTCATGTTAACAGCATTAACATTTTCCTGTATCATCAGAGGATGAATATGTTTGCACTGCTTTAAGCCTGTCCAGAGAGAGGCTTCTGCTGAAGAGCAGACCTAATGAAAGATGAAATTCACTCGGCTCAGCCTCTTGAAAGCCTAGTGTAGCCTGACTCTGTGAACGCTGATTTAATTTAAATGAATTTAACATCGCCACAACAAATTATTAAGAGCTCTGCTGTATGTCAATGAGAAATGTTGTCATGTAAGGATTTAACGTGTCAGTAGAGCTTCACAGCACCAGATGGCACCATTAAGTCATGCATGGTTGCAGGAAGTAATCCATTTGGTACTTACAATTAAGTATTTAGTATACCCTTAAAGGCACAAGATGTAATTTTTGCTACTAGATGGCGCGTATTAACAATAAACAAAGCTGTAGTTTGATGATGATGTGACTGAGTGTTGAATCATGAGAGTTGTCATCTTTATTACATCTTACAGGACACCTGCAGAGATCATGTTCATTGGTGAGCTAAAGTATTCAAAACTTATTATCATAGTATAAAGCAGAGTAAGGGTTTATTCATACAGAATGCATCATTGTTTCTATAAACGCAAGACGCAATGGTTTGGAATAGTTTGAAAAAAAGTACAGCATAAAGTACGAGGGTACCTGGACACAACTACAAAACACCTGTAAACAGAAACTAGAAATTCTTGCCCCGCCTCTGAGGTCATCTGATTGGTCCACTGCTGTGGAACATACAGTGATGAGCTGCATTGTGTGAAAGTTGAAGATCTTTTAACTTAGCGTCTAAAAAAACAAGGCACTAATGCTTCAAAAGACACAAGATGTGAGCGTAACAGTCACACTTGACCATCAAGCATGTGTCTACATTGAAAAACAATGGAAAAGTACAACATTGAAAAAACCTGTTCTGTGTAAACCACCCCTACGACTTAACGTTTTAGTGAAAACAAGAATGCTGAAGCAATTGCTGGTGAGAGATGAGTGTGAAATGCCCGAAAGAATGCAGCAGAGCTTTTATTATGCCACAGTCCACCACTTCCGGCTCTTCCACTCGTAATCACATGATGCTTTTTTACGATAATGAATACATGGAATATTCTTTTATAATGCTGCTCTGTGCAGTCTAATAAAAAGCACAATGTACTAAAGGACCTGTGGTGTTTCTATAAAACCAGAAAATCGAGGGTGGCACAGTACAGAGTCCATGTCACTAATTAAAATAACTAATTTATACAGCATTCTTTGAAACATTTGGGATCATTTAAAGGGCACCTATGATGAAAATCAACTTTTGTAAGCTGTTTGGACAGAACTGCGTGTCCACAGTCATACTAGAATGATATAAACCCAAACAAGTCTATTTTTTTAATTTCCAGACGTTAAAATAGGACCCAAATTCCAGTGATTTTGCGGTCCACCGCAACATGACGTAGAAGTGCAGATTTTCCATGCCCACCGAATTTATTGACAGGCACTATGTTTCTATAAAAACATGTATAGAGATGTCCACAGAACTTTTTTTTGCAAATGAACTGGAATTAAGGTTAAAAAAGTTTAAAACATTTTTAAAACATAGCATGTTTGTAATAAAGACGCTATCTAATTCTTAATCGATATAATTATGAAGACCGTATGGTGTCAGTAAACGCTGATATAGTGTATGTGTGTGTGTGTGTGTGTGTGTGTGTGTAGTATGTGTGTGCTGCAAACAGCATTTGTCCGAGACTCATCCTTTCAGAAAGGCTTGAATAAACTCCACCACAAATACAGCAAAATAAACTTGGTATTTTTGACTAATGAGCTGTATTTTAGCTTCATCTGAGTCTGTCTCTGTCACTGTGCTGTTTAACTGACGTAACGCATGATGAAAAGCAGACACACACTTCAAAACGGTGGGCGGAGAGAAGCAGCTCATTTGCATTTAAAGCCACTAGATATACAAAAACAGCAAGAATGTAGTCAGACACCAAAATGGGCAGATTCTAGACGCTATAATAAATGATCTGATGGGTATTTTGAGCTGAAACTTTACAAACACATTCGGGAGACACCAAAGGCTTGTCTTACACCTTGTAAAAGGTGTAAAATATGTGGCCTTTAAGTACAAAAGTTAGCAAAATATGAGTTAGCAAAAAATAGACATTTTGGAAAAATACTACATATTGTGCGTTTAATGTGACTTTAAAGTAAGTCAACCATTTGTATTATTTCAAGTATTTATGGAATAGACTATTTGCCATTTCAGTCTATATAGTAGGCTTGCTGCAGTAGTCAGTAGCTACGTTTCCATCCACCTATTTTTATGTGCATTTTGGACATGCAAAAAAAGGTTGATGGAAACGCCAAAAAAGAAATTACGTGATGATAAAAATGTTTGTATATGGACAAACCAGCAGGCTGAGCACATTGTATAACATCTGAAATGTTGTTTTGGTCATTCTGTTATTATATTATTAATTACCTCCAGAGTCAAGAGCGCCTTTGCTCCACGTCTGACACCTTCAAATACCACCAGGGTTCACTGCTAGTCAGGATTGCAAGTCATGTATCAAATGAAGAAAAGATTTACACAGCTACTCCTACCGCAGCAATTTCTGTTTTTACTTTTACTTTTGGTGCCAGTTAATCAGGAAGTGACGATTTTGTTTACTTTGACTCGTTGGATGGTAACGCTGCTTTATTTGCATGTCGTTAATGTTATAATCCAGTTTTGCGCATAAAGTTAATTCGCATTTTTGGATGGAAACATAGCTAGTGTTACTAATAGTGTTTTTTCACCTTGCAATTTCAATTTCTGCTATGAAGGAGCATAATTGACAAACATAATTGACAAACATTCTACGTGTAAAAACCCTAAACACAGTGTTTGCATGACTGTGAATTTGAAAGTGAACGTAAAATATGAGCACGTCCTTAAAAGCATATTCATTATGTTAAATACCACCCTCACACCAAAGTGAATTAACACAACTTACACAATTCATCACACAGAGGCCAGATAAAAATAATATTCCTGGTTTTTAATTAAAATATACTGTTGAGTCATTTGTTCATATGCCTGTTGTTTTGTTGTGGAAAAATACTGTCACAGTATTATCCTATCCCAGGCGAGTTCTTATGAATATACCTGTCTATTTTTTTTTATTTTTATTGCTGAGTCTGTTTGAGAGACAGAGAGGCTTTGAGACTGGGTGAGGGGCCCAGGCTCCGGCTGTAACCCACCACTCTCATTTGCAGCCTTTAATAGCCGGCTATATTAGACTCTAATCTGCCTGATCCCAATTTAATGCCGCTCCCTCCAGCTGACGTGACAGGAATACTAAACAGGCTCGCAGTGCTGAGCAGCGAGGCGATCTGCGCTCCCTCCGGGCTCGTCCCGCTCCTCTCCGCAGTGCCAGCCCCTTTTCCTCTCTCCCCTCCCCAGTCACACTCACTCCTGGAGGGCATGGCTGGGTTATCTCTCCCCTTCTCTCTCTTTGGCAGGGCCTGGATCATAACCCGGACACAGCCCTAAAGGCCCAAAGCCAAAGGATGCTATCAATTTAGCTCTCCAAGGATTTGGCAAGTAGGCTGAGGAACAAACTACCTAGAAATTAGAGCATAAAATCGAATTGGAAAAGTTAAGCCACAAGGTACAGGTTCATCGAACACCCACATTCCCTGGAGCGAGTCTAATAA